ATCATTTGCCCCCAGCACAGGTACGTGGAGGGGGAGCAAGCGGGGCAGCAAGAGACAGGAAGAACAGCCAGGCGGGACAGACCTGCAGGGCGTACCGGAAGCCAGTCTTCTTGTCCTGGATGCAGCCCATGAGCAGGTAACTGAAGGTCTCCTCTGTGACCGCGTGCCCTTTCTGGATGATTTCCTAGGGGAAGGAACGAAGAAGGCCTGCTGGGACTCTGCAGGAGAGCTGAGGCCCAGACTCAGGCCCACTGGATCTGGCTCAGGACCGACAGACACCCCACGGCAGACCCAGGGCTGCGTATCCTGAGCAGTGGGGCCCGAATCCGGCCTGGGCCGGCTCAGTACCAGCCGCAGCAGAGCTCCCCACGGCCTGCGCTCCCTCCTCCCCTCTTTCCCAGGCCTCTCTTCCTGGCTCTACTCCTATCACTTCTGTGCAGCCGCTCCATGAAGATCCACCCAGGAGCCACTCTTGCACACAAGGCTTTGGACCTGCCCAGAGTAGGCTTCACGTCCCAGCTTCGCCGCTGGCCTGCTCTAGGAGTCTGGGAAGCATTAGGCGCCCATCTCGGTTTCCTCATCAGTGAAGCAGAAGCCACAGGACTTGCTTTGTAAGATCTTTGGAACGATGCCCCAGTGAGTGCCAATTCCTCTTCAGTGCTATGCATCTCACCAGCGAGGGCCCTCAGCGGGACATAGCACACCACAGCACACACAGCACCCTGACCTCACGGGGCGGGGGCCTCCCTGTCCCACCCAGGGCTCTGACTGCAGGGACGCCTCAGTGAGCCCCAGAGGCCGACAGGGCGCCTGTCTCATTGGCGCCTGAACCTTCCCATGAGAGGAACGCAGAGGGCACAGCCTCAGTCTGGCCTCGCAGAACTCACTCTGAGTGGGGAGCAGGAAGGAAGGGACAGCCCCACCTTAAACACATCCAGGCACATCCTGAGGTCCGCGCACAGGGCGGCCATCTTCAGCAGTGCGTGGTACGTTTTCAAGTTGAGCTGGAAGTTTCTGGCCCGAAGCTGCTGCCGTAGCTTCAGGGCGCTCTGCAGTGCAGAGTCCTTCCAGGGGGACTCGGCGCACACGTTGAACAGGGCTGTGTAGGTGGCATCTGAGGGCTCCAGGTCCCGCTTCTTCATCTGCGGAGACAGGGAGAAACTTGGAGGTGGCTCTGGGGTCAGCTGGACGCACAGGCCACAGGGACAGGAGGCTAGAGAGGACTCTGCTTCTGCACCAAAGGGGCCTGGAGCGGGGCCTGTGTCAAGGCAGAGCCGACCGGCACACAGAGCCGGGCTCTCCAAGCCCCTGACTCACCCTGAGCGGCCCTGAGAGCTGGCCTCGCTCCCCAGAGGCACCAAACAGGAAAGCGTCCTCCCCAAGGCACTCAGCAGCCCACCCTGAGCCTGAAGTGCTCTTACGGCATGCTCTTCCTGATGCTCCTGCCCTCTGGCCACCCAGGCTGCCCTGACTGTTAGGATCTGTGGAATAGATCTGATCTGGAAAAGGGCAGGAGGGGTCATCAAACCCCAGCTCCAATGTTTAGTAACTGAGGGGTCGTGGGCAATCAGCTTGTCATTGGAAAAACGGGGGTGATACGGTCACACTGGAAGGTTGTTACAAAGGAGACTGTCTTGGGAGAGTGGCCCCTGGAGCAGCAGCCGGGAGCATGGCCCTGCAGCGCATCTCGGGCCTCCCCAGCCCTCCTCCGGCCCGGCTGACACTGCTTAGCAAGCCCTCCAGGGGACGGAGTTTGAGAAGCTCCTGGTAAAGGCAAGTGCTCGCTGTTTCCCAGAGAAAGGCCACCTGACCAAGGGCAGCAAGCAGCTGCCGCAGAGCGCCCAGAAGCCTGCTCTCAGGCCGCGGCTGGGCTCAACCTCCATGTCAGCGCTCGAGACAGTGCTGACACTTAAACACGGCGCTGCGTCTCTCCAGGCCTCAGTGTCCTCACTGGAGAAACGAAGATGGTGATCCCAACTTTGAGGATGGGGGGACACTCTGTATGTGCTCACATATTCCACAGACGTGTACTGAGGACTTAATACAGGCCAGGCACTGGCTACTGGGGTTACCACAACAGGCAAGGCCTGTCTCCACTGAGCTTACTCTCTACAGGGGAGACACACGACAGGCAAATAGCTAACCAGCAACGATAATAAAGATGTGAAGGACACTCAGTGAAAAGTGGCTGGAAAGGGCACCTTCGTGGTGGATGAACCACTCCGGCCCAGGTAATGTCAGCTGTGATAAGACCACAAAACAGGCTGGAGAGGTGAAACTGTCCCCCCAGGGCAATGCACTAGCAGGGAACACATTCAGGACCTGCACCCAACTCTTCTGGGGCCCAAAGCCCGTGTTGTAGGGCGCCTGGCCTGCCGCCCCCCGGCCCCATGCTCACGTCATTGTAGAGCCTGAAGGCCTTCTTCAGGTAGCCGGCCCGCCCGCAGCCCCCGATCAGCACCGTGTAGTTGCACTCGAGGGGCTGGAGGCACTCCTCCTTCAGCATCTGCCTCTCAAACAGGTCCAGGGCCTCGGCCAGCTGGGGAAGGGGGGACACAAGAAAGGGGGCTCAGCAGAGGGATGGAGACCGAGGCTAAGGGACCCTCCCTGAGCTCAAGCCCAGGCTGGCCCAGGAGCCAAACACGCAGCCTGGGCCTCTGCCACCAGCCTCCTGGTCCCTGTGCTCCACTGCAAGGGGACCTCGTGGTGGCCAGGAAGGAAAGCCCACCAGACTCCCACCACCTATGAGCGCTCTTGGCCCCTCAGCTGTGGGGGAACTCCGCAAGCACAGGGGCAATGCCCAGGTAAATGAAGATCTGAAGGAGGTGAGGGAAGGAGCCAGGCGGCTCTCTGAGGGAACAGCCAGTGCAAAGGCCCTGAAGCAGGAGNGGGGGAAGTGGGGAGGAGAAGGCTAGGCCTGGGCATTCAGGGGGAGGGTTGTGAGAAGTTAGGATGGGAGACACTTTGAAGGCAGAGTTGGCGGGAGAAAGAAGACTTAGGGGTGAAGGGATTTGGCCTGGGCGAATGGAAAAACCAGGTTGCCAATTAGTGAGATGAACAAAGTGTAGAGAAATCGAGGTTGGGAACAAGAATGCCAGGCCACTGAGGGTAAGTATAATGGAGATGGTGAGGAGGCAGCTGGATACACAGATAGAGAGCCCGGGGGACGGCTGGGCTGGTAGCAGGAAGATGAGAATGGCATCGAGGAGGGGGCACGGGAAGCCAGGAGGCTGGAGGGTCGCCTGAGGCAGCACTGGGGGAAATGAAGACAGAGGGGAGAGGAGCCCTGAGCATCCCACAGGAGGGCAGGGTGGCCCCTCACAAAAGACGGAAGCAGGAGTCAGGAGCAGCAGAGTCCAAAGGTTCCCTACCTTTCCTTCCCTGATCAGGCGTTTGCACTGAAAGAAGTACCAGTAAGGGGTGTTTCTGGGGCCCCGCCGTGGTTTTGGTTCCAGCTCCGCTTCCTCATCTTCTTCAATATTCTGTTCCTTGAGCCGCAGGTTATATAGCTGGGCTGTCGATTTGTGGAACATTCTCCGAGACGAGTATTTGTCGGAGAGCATCCCAAAGCTCTCCTCCTCCCCTTCCTCCTGGGTGGCAGTGGGGCTGGGCTGGCCGGGGTCAGAGCTGAGGCTGCCTGTGTTCTTCTGGCCTTGCGAGCCGAGGGGCAGCTGAGAGAGAGAGCTGGAGAAGGCTGCTGGCGCTGGCCGAATCCACCCTGCCACCCTAGGCCACGCGGGTCCCTCCCTGCCTCCAGCCCACTGGGCTCTGAGAGGGTCAAGGTGGCACAGGATGGACAGTCCCACGGGGCGGGGGCTGGAGAAGAGCCGAGCAAGCCTCACGAAGTCCATTTCTGGCGTTCTCCTCCGGGGCCTGGTATAGGTCAGCAAAATAATGAAAGTCAATGTCGTTGTCACAAAAGGCAGAAAGAAGACGGTTAAGCGGCACAAGCATGAGTCCTGAGGTCAGAAAGCCTGGGTTCAGACTGCAGCACCACCAAACCATCCTTGTGTCCCTGGGCACTCACTGCTCTGGCCTTCAGTCTCCTTGCTTGTAAACTGGAGTTACCTATAACATCACCCACATGGCAACGATCTAATCTCAAGATACCAGGGTGCAGGCACAGGATGGTGAGCACCCGATAAACTACCGATCTGTACCATTCTGCACCTGGTGAGGCTCCAACAGAAACACAGCGCGAGCCAGTATGTAATTTTAAATCTTCAAGTAGCCACATTAAATAAAAGGTTTACACACATTAATCAAAAGAGAGAATTGTAATTACGGATATTGAAATTGCTACCAGGATGCTTTTAAAACAAACTCATGCTGTATGACTATAGAGGCTTCTTTTCCAGGCATTAAGTTAACAAGGTCCTATCGATCTGATGAAGCAGCGATGACTGTAAATGAGTTGTAGGAGTTGTCGATACTCTTATCTCCATCATTTACACTCACCCCTATTTGCAATCGCGACTTCGTTTTGGGCACAGCCAACGTCAGGTGAGGAAAGACTTGGGAAGTTTCACTTATGACAATAAAGGTGTAATTTCTTCCTCCCCGAGTTCTTCCACCAGCCCGGGGTTAATAATCCCTGAATCGGAGACCCGCTGCCGCTCTCCTCCCCCAGGGGGACTCACCCTTCCCCAGACCCTTCCGGGGTACCTCAGGCCGACCCGAGCACTCCCTCCACAGGCCTAAACCGGTCCCCTCAGCAGAGGCCTCCACCTCCGACCCTTGCAGCGATCCTCGCAGGCCCTCTGGCCCGCCTTCGCCGGGCGCCCGGGCTCCTTAGAAGGTCAAATGAGAAACTCACTCCGGGAGTCCGGCCCAGTGAACACGCCCGCACCTCGGCCCCGGAGTCCGCGCCACCCCCGCCCCGCCTCGCGTCACGGCCAGGCCCGAACCCGCCACGCCGCGCCGCGTCCCCGGCTCCGCGTCTCCAACGCGCTCTCCCAGGTGCGCCCCGGCCGATCTCCCGCAGGCCCAGTTAGCGAGGCCAGGCGAGGCGAGGCTGCGGGGCGCCGTGTGCGGCTGAGCCGGCGGCGGGTAGAGGTGTGAGGGCGGCCGGGAATCTGAGCGGGAGCCGGGCCGGTGTGGCCGCCGCCGCCACCATGCAGGAAATCATCGCCAGCGTGGACCACATCAAGTTCGACTTGGAGATCGCCGTGGAGCAGCAGCTCGGGGCGCAGCCGCTGCCCTTCCCCGGCATGGACAGTGAGCGCGGGGTCGCGGCGGGCGGGCGGGCGGGCGAGGGGCGCGACCGATTCAGCCCCGGTACCTCCCTCCTTTGGTTCCCGGACGCCTTCTCTCTCCTCCCGGGAGCTCCTCCCCCTCGGTCTTGGGACTCCTTTCCCCCTGATCCTGGGACACCTCCCCCTCCGTTATTTTGACTAGGGAACCCCCGTTCCCGGGGGCTGTTCGAATGCAGGCTTCAGAAAGGCAGGGCGACGTCGGGCAGTTCGAATAACTCTTAAAAGAAGGCGGGTATCCTGGGTTGGAAATCCTGCCCCCCCCCCTCCCCCGGCACACACTCTCCAGCTACAGAGACGTACTAAGATAGCCCCTTTCCCCACCTCCAGCCCCACTTTGAGCGCCTTCTTGCTTTCGTCAAAACTGGGCCGTTGAAGGAGTCTTGCTGTGGGAAGGACCCACCTCCCCGTCTCTGTAGGAGACCCCCAAGAAGACTCTCAAACTCCATTTTTCTCCTAGGACTCGCGCTCCTGGGACCCCATTCCTCAGTGTTTCTGTTGACCCCACCTCTGGGTCATTCATCCACCCAGGCAGCTACTTAAGTTCCCTTCACTTCACTCTCCCCCACCACATGGTGGCTCCTGGCTTCCCCCGCCCCATCCCCCCAGCTCAGATGGGATGTCTAGCACTTTACTTTTATTTATTTACTTTGGACACCCCACCCCGCTTGCTGAGATCTTGGTCCCCCCACTAGGGATTGAGCCCTGGCCATGGCAGTGAAAGTGGAGAGTCCTAACCACTGGACTGCCAGGGAATTCCTTGAGACGTATAGCACTTGAAAAGAAATGAACGGTTTCCTTTCTCCTTTCCAGACATACTTGAAATCTAATGCTATAACATTACATTTCAGAGGGCTCTTAGAGCTCATTGAGCTCAAGCCACAGATGGGCTAAACTGAGGCCTGGGAGGGGGGAGGACTTGCCAAAGACCACTGAGCTCCAGATGGAGCCAGGTGAGCTCACCAGGGCTCTTGATCTTTCCATCTGCAGTTCCTGGGCGGTCTCCCATAACCGCCAGAGGACATGGGCCGCAGCCCCCGGTCCTCCTGCCTGTCCCCAGGCTGGTCGAGTCTCCCTGCAGCCTCATTCCCCTCAAGAGGCCACACTTCTCATGTACACATGACATCTGAGGTGTCGCTCTCACGCTGACACTTCCGTGTAAGATAATGCTCACAACGCAGAGACATAATCCAAACAGCCTTACTTTACACTGTCTCCACTGTACATGGCTTATAAACTGCTGCTCACATTCAGATACTCTTAAACCTAGTCGTCCACTCACGTGATCACTCCGTGCTTATACATTCATTCACACGTGTGGCCTTTTCCTTGGCCGATGGCACTAGCTGGAGGCCATGGCGCCCTCTTCCATGCAGGGCAGCTCTCTCCCTCTCTCCCCACTCCAGCTTGGAAGCAGATACTTGACTCTGAGGGCAGGTGCAGAGGTGAGAACAAACCTGTTCTTAGAGAGGGTCCAGGACACACCTGGCCACAGGTACTACCTCTGACTTGGTGAGCGCCCTCAGCACTTGCGCCACCTGCCCAGGATCACAGTCAGTGTGTTAGAATCCAGGGAGGCCACGGCCCTTCCTCTCTCATCCCTACACCTCATTCTTTTTTTAAAAATATTATTTAGCTGTGTTGGGTCTAGTTGTGGCAAGCAGAATCTTCATTGCGGCTCTCACGCTCCAGAGCACGGGCTTCGTTGCTCTGGGACGTGTGGGATCTTAAGTTTACTGACCAAGGATCGAACCTTTGTCCCCTGTATTGCAAGGTGGTGGATTCTTAACCACTGGACCACCAGGGAGGTCCCCATTCCCATCCTGATGTGGAGTGGGCATATCAGTTCTGTCCTGAAGGCAAACTCCTTTATCCTGTTTGCCTAAAATCTGACCCCCAGGACAGTGGACTTTAGGGAATGAAACAGACTTAACCTCTGTAAAGGATGAAGGCCCAGAAATACTCTTAAATGGTACTTTTCTAATGTTTTAGTAAGACTTCTCAGACTTTTTTGAAATGCGAACAAGTGACACCCTTGTGACTCCTACTTTTGTAACCTTAAATCTGTCCTAGCAAAATCTTGCCTGCTTCCAAGAGGCCAATGAGTCTCTTGCAAGTTAGCAAGCAGAGGCATGCAAGTGGTCTTTAGAGATGGTGTCGGTGGGTTTCCTAAGATGCCTGCTGATAGAGAAAACTGAGAAGCCACAGACTTTTTGTTCTGGTGGCCATGGCAGGTGAATTCTTGGGCTCCTTGGAACAGCCCTGGACCCCATTGGTTTCTCAGCGCTCAGCTTTTATTCTCCTGCTCCCCTCACCTGAACCAGCTGCATCTGTGGGAGCGGAAGTCCGTGCCCCTTTAATTATTGCATGTTGGCGTTGCATACCAAAAGCAGTCCTGCTCCCGTGTCTTCAGTGACGCTCTTCCCTCCAGAATAGCGTCTCCGAGGCACCCGCCTCTTCTCTGGGGCAGGCTCCTCCTGAGAATCCCCACTGGCTTGTTCTTCCTAGATCATTCCATCCCTCTGGGCTCAGGATAAAGAGCCCCTGAATCAGCCTTCTGGAAGGTCTGGGCGGGGAGTAATTAATCTCTGTGAGCTTGTGCTCCATCCTTCCTTCTCCCATCCACTTCTGACTCCTGGAAAGCATCTTGCTTATAGGAGGTCCTGGATGTCACAGTGGGGAGTGTTCTCCTTGCTTCCTCAGGTTTCTGTTTCCTGTACCTGGACTCCTGCGTGGGTTAAAGGCCAGAGGGGTCCCCACCCTGTGTTCAGATGTCACAGGTAGCAGTCACACCTCACCCTGTTTGACACCTCTCATTCTTTCTGCAGAGTCAGGGGCTGCTGTCTGTGAATTCTTTTTGAAAGCTGCCTGTGGCAAAGGTAAGAGACCCTGGCTTCCTGCATCCCCCCGGGGTACCCTCCACCACCCTGTCCCTGGGCAGACCCACAAGCTCTCGGATCCCTTGTTCGCCCTGCTTTCTGCAGACTCACGGTGTCCCTAGGTGTGTTCCCCACCCCCAGTCTTTTACTGCTCCTACAAATGTTGACGTGTCTTTATATCACCAGAACTCTTCTTTAAATTAAGAAAAACGCCCCCCCTTCCCCCCACCGCCCTTAGGCTTCTGAAGTTTCCGTCTTAGAGAAATATCTGTGACACCTCAATTGGATGTTTTATATTTTCCCAAGACACGTCACAATAAAATCCACAGCTATTAAAACCTGAAGCGTGTGCTCGTGTGCAGCCTGAAATCACAGCACCTCCTGCCAGGGCAGCCACCACGTTCTAGGACACGCGGCTCGCGGGGGCGCTGGGTCTTCACACGCATCTTCCCCGGCAGGGGGCATGTGCCCGTTCCGCCACATCAGTGGTGAGAAGACGGTGGTGTGCAAGCACTGGCTGCGGGGGCTGTGCAAGAAGGGGGACCAGTGCGAGTTCCTGCATGAGTACGACATGACCAAGATGCCCGAGTGCTACTTCTACTCCAAGTTCGGTGAGGCGCCCCCCACGGCGGGCTGGGGAGCCCCCGGAGGCCCCACAGGCAGGAGACTCGCCGTGAGTAGCTGCTCCGGCGCCTGCGGTGCCTGCCAACCTCAGCAGCCCCTTTAGTTGTGGGGACTTAGGGTTATTCTCTCCTGACCCCCGTGTCTCCCCGTGCGTCCGTTTTCTGAGCACTTGCAAGCACTTTGGGAGGTTGAGGCAGATCTGGGTCTCACGGCGGGCACAGGAGCAGGGCAGCTGGCTGGGGGCCTTGTTTCTGCTCCAGTGAACCTTCTCCCTTAGTCAGCCGTTGCTGCTGGAGTGGTGTCTAGAGGCCTTCTCTCTAGAAGTGTGATCCCAGGTAGGAGCCGGTCTGTCCTCAGTCAGTTCAGTTCAGTTCAGTCGCTCAGTCGTGTCCAACTCTTTGCGACCCCATGGACTGCAGCACGTCAGACCTCCCTGTCCATCACCAACTCCTGGAGTTTACTTAAACTCATGTCCCTTGAGTCAGTGATGCCATCCAACCATCTCACCCTCTGTCATCCCCTTCTCCCGCCTTCAGTCTTTCCCAGCATCAGGGTCTTTTCAAATGAGTCAGCTCTTCGTATCAGGTGGCCAAAGTATTGGAGTTTCAGCTTCAACATCAGTCCTTCCAAAGAACACTCAGGACTGATCTCCTTAAAACACTCCTTAAGAACAGCCAGTGGGGTGCACCGTCTTCTGGTGGCAGAAAGCCCTCCTCTTTACCTGGGAAATGGAGATTGCCTTTGTTTCTGCTCAGAGGACACGTGGCCTCCGCTGAGCTTATGAACTCTGTGAAGCCGGGGCAGTAGGGCTGGCCCAGGGCTCAGTGCAGCTGACGTGCTCCCCGATGGAACTAGACTCCTCGACTCTACCTTGGGCGAGGCTGCCCAGGAAGAAGCCCTGTTGGTCAGGATGAGGCTGGGCTCTGGCCCCGGAACTGCTGGCCTTAGGCAGGGGGCTGGCAGCCTGCTGTGCACTGTTGTCCAAGGAGACCTTGATTCTTTCAGCAGCCCGACAGGTATGCCTGCTGGCTTGTTAATGATAGTTGTAGCTTTTTTTGTAGAGGCAATATAAGCTGGTTTCATCCCTGGGTTGGGAAGATCGCTTGGAGAAGGAAATGGCAACCCACTCCAGTATTCTTGCCTGGGAAATCCCATGGACAGAGGAGCCTGGCGGGCTATAGTCCACGGGGTCACAGAGAGTCGGACTCGACTGAGCGACTACACGACAACCAGAGGGCCCCAGCTGTGAGTTCCCAAAGCTTCCCTCCTCTTGTCCTGAGAGGCAGTCCTCAGACCTTCTCCTTGTCCCAACATGAAGAGCGCATCAGCGCAGACCGGTAATTTCCCCGCTGGTCTCAGCTGCTGCGTTGCACATCTGGACCCCCCACGATGCCCAGGACACCTCCTCTGGGTGAGGGGTGGAGCCGGGAGCTGTTTGACGAGGTGAACCCTGTGCCCGCCTCTGTCAGTGTCTGTGACCCCCGAGACAGCACAGACTGTGGGGGAAGGACCGTCGCAGCCCAGGTACAGCCCAGGAGACTGAGGCTCCGAGACACACTGCCCTGGGTCTCAGGGCTCGCTTGGCCAGGACAGGGCACCGGAACCCCCAGCCCTCCCTGCTGTCCCATGGCCCTGGCCTCTGGAGGATCGGGGGTGGGTCTGGGTCCCGCGCCCCCAGGTGGACGCCTGTCTGGTCCCTGCAGGGGAGTGCAGCAACAAGGAGTGCCCCTTCCTGCACATCGACCCCGAGTCCAAGATCAAGGACTGCCCATGGTACGACCGCGGCTTCTGCAAGCACGGTAGGTGTAGGGGAGCGGGGCTCCCGGCCAGAGGCCCGTCCTGCCCCCCTCTGCCCACGTCCCTCCTGTTCCTACAAACATCGTGTTAGGCGTTTGGGGGCTGGTGAGGCTTTGTCACACCCTCGAGTCCCTCCCCAGGACAGGCGCCCCTGGACCGCATTCTCACCTAGATTTCTGACCAGGAGACTAGTGTTTGAGAGGCTGTGTGTCTTGCCCACCGGCCCTGCTGAGCACGAGTCAGAGCCAGCATCTGAAGCCCTGTTCTTGTGCTCTGACCCCGGGGTGGCGGTGTGGGCAGGGCTCGAGTTGCCCCCCGAAGAGGAGACGGTCTGAGTGGGCCTGTGCCCGGTCCGCAGGCCCCCTGTGCAGGCACCGGCACACGCGGAGAGTCATCTGTGTCAATTACCTCGTGGGATTCTGCCCGGAGGGGCCCTCCTGTAAATTCATGCAGTGAGTACCAGGCCTCGTGCCCCCATGTCTCTCTTGGGCCCATCTGGGCTTTGATCACTGGGCAGCGTCATGACCGGGTCTGGGAACGGGTGGAAGGCAGGGAGGGGCCACCACTGCTCTGAGCCCAGAGGTGGTTCTGCCTAAACCAGGGTTTGACCTTTACTGGGTCACAGTCCATCTCGGCCTCACATAAAAACTCTGGTCCCTGTACTCCAGAAAAACTCAGACACACATGACCTCAAGCTAAGAACCTGTGCCCTCATGGAAGGGAACTTCAGTCTCAGGCAGGGCCTCCTACGTGAAGGCACTGAGCTTGGGCTTCCCTTTTCACTGGTTCAGAGACCCTCGTGTGAAAGAAGGTCCCCATTTCACACATGGGAACGCTGAGGCTCCAAGCCCCGCCCCTGGCCAGGGGCAGGTGGGGACAGGTGGGGGCGCTTGGTTAGAGGCAGGTCTGTGGCCTCTAGAGCCCAGTCCTCCTGCCGGCACGGCCCAGCGCCCCTCCCCTGGGCCTCCGTGCCCGTCTGTCACTTTGGGTGGTCATGGGTGGCGGCACTGGGACCCAGAGTAGCGTCAGCCGCCCCACCCCTCACTGCCTCCGTCCACACTGCTGGCACCGGCCTGGCAGCCGTGTCCTGCTCACTGCCACGTAGTGGGCAGGTGGCTGGTGCTGCTGGCTTGGTCCCCCACCCGAGATGCAAGCCTGGGAGCCTGCAGGTGGCCCAGGGGTTCCTCTGTGTGGCCAGGGGGGTGCGGGGGGCATGTCCACCAGGACTCTGTGGGCAGAGGTCTAACACCATCCCTGCAGCGAAGGGTGTGTGCCGGGAGGGCCTCTGTGCCCTCCAGCCATGTCTCCTTCCTCTGTCTGAGCACTGCTCGCCGGGGCTCACGACTTGGTGTAGGCAGAGCTGGGTCTGAGTCCAGACGCCTCAGATCCATCCCGAAGCCTGGCGGAGCTGAGTGCCAGCCCCCGCCCTCCGTCCAGGCGGCTCGTGTGGCCCTGGGCTCGGCGAGAGGCCGGCTGGGATTTTCCTGGGGCCAGAACGTGGGAGCCTCCCTGCCTAGCTCCTCTCTCTCCTCTTCTCCTCTCGTGACCAGCCCTCGATTTGAACTGCCGATGGGAACCACCGAGCAGCCCCCGCTGCCGCAGCAGACGCAACCACCCACGAAGGTACCGTGCCCCGGGCCCGCAGTACGGCGGAGCCCGGCAGCGCCCTGGCCACAGCGCCCTCAGTGCCCGCCTCGGTGTGGGGTCTGCTGGGGAGCCGGCGGCAGGCCGTGAGAGGAGGGTAGGGGCGGGGGCCGGAGCCCGGAGGGGAGTCACCCGGGTTCTGGCAGAAACTCCAAGGGGGCAGAGCGGCCGGCACCTTCTCGAGGTGGAGGGCGGCCTGCTCCAGCCAGGCGCCGCCAGGCTCCTCTCCCCGTCTTGCCTGTGGGCCTGTAGGCAGCTGGGCGCCCCATGTCTGCCATGCTAGCTGCAGACCCCTCCCTCCACAACGGGACTCGCCTGAGGGGCCCGGCGGGGCGGGAGCAGACCTAGGAGCAGAGGCGAGGCTGCCTGTTTCTCTGGCCCGGCCCAATTGTGGGAAGGGATGCTGGGCACAGAGGCTGAGGGAGCAGCTGGCTCCAGTCTCCTAGACGAGGGGGCCCCACACCCAGGCCACAGTGGGCCGTTCCCCTCGAGCATAAGGAGAGGGAACTGCCCTGAACACATGGGAATCTGTGGCAGTGCCCCTCAAACAAAGGGCACTTCGGGTTTGGTTACGGGTGGTGGTCAGGTCCTGGAGGAAGGCCAGGCAGATGTCCCCGGTGGGGTCTCAGCAGGCTGATGAGCTGCCCGCCGGTCGTGAAGCCTCACCTCTCACCTGGCTGGACTCTGAGCCCACTGTCGGGGCCCGGTCTGGCCCCCGTCTGTGCTGGAGGTCGAGCAGCTGGGAGGGGACACAGCCACCCTCACCACCCTGACCCCCACCACCCCAAGTGTGTGGGATAAACCAGGAGAACTGCTGTCAGCAGAGCCGGGCGTTCCCAGTCCCCAGCCCGGGCTCCTGCACTGATGGGCCCAGACGCAGGGTCCCACCGGGTCGGGCCCCGCCGAGGTGCCCCGTCCCCCCTGCTCCCTAGTGGAGGGCCCTCTCAGCCCCTAGACCGCAGGTCAGCGTGTCAGCCTCCGACTCGTTTCTGTGACTGTTGCCCGCCGTGTAGGCTCTAAACAGCTGGCTGAACCAAGCGTTCATCCTGACCTGAAGCTAGAACCTCACAAACAAAAGTAAGGCCTGCTCATGCCCTCGCCCTGCCGCCCCAGAGACCGCCTGTCTCTTTGGTGTTTTGTTTTCCACTTTTCTTTTTCGTTTTTGTGTGTCTGCATGGTGTTTTTCGGGCAGCGGCTCCTGCCATCATCACCAGACGTTTCTTTTCCGCCTGCTCTCCCGAGTGGGGCCGCCACGGAAGCCCTTCTTCCTGCTGGTTACGGTCACGGTCATGCGGGAGAAAGCCCGCTCTCTTTTTTCCTCTCCCCATTGGTAGTCTGCCTGCACGTGTTTTCCGCAGTAAAACCGTGTTGTGTAACTCTTTCCAGCAAAGTAACAATCCGCCATTACAAAGGTCGTCCTCCTTGATCCAGTTAACGAGTCAGAACTCTTCTCCCAACCAGCAGAGAACCCCGCAGGTCATCGGGGTCATGCAGAGTCAAAACAGCAGTGCAGGCAACCGAGGACCCCGGCCGCTGGAGCAGGTCACCTGCTACAAGGTGAGTCCTGGGGCTGGCGGGGGCGTCTTTCACAGTCCATGGTCATTCCCTCCTTCCCCAGAGAGTTAGCTCATGTTGAAGAATGAAGACATCTTTATTTTTGCTAATTGGAAGAGCAAAACGGGGCCACTCCGGTGAGCTAGACCATGCCACTTCCACGACACACTAAGGCCAGGTTAACAACTAAACAGCTGCTGTTGCGTGAACAGATTGCACACCCAAGAAAGGGATTGGGATCTTCCAGAGCCCGGGAACGGAGTGAGCCCTGAACCTCTGCGGGGGAGGGGTCCTCACACCCCACGCGGCACACACGAGGGGAGGAACAAAGCTTTAGGTCTGCGTGCTGAGGAATCAGGACACATACACACAAAATGGGGCCTTCAGGGAAAACTCTTGGCTCTGGGTGGAGAGTGGGCGAGGAAAGTCCTTTGAGAGATGTTCATCACTGGTGGGCAAGCCCTTCCTCGAGTCTGAGCCTTGGTGAGGGCCAAAAAGCCACAGGCTGCATTTTCTAATCTAAAACAGCCCCTGGCAACGTAGCTTCGAGATATTAATTCTCAATCCAGCCCACACAGAATTCCCACAATGAGGTTTCCCCAGAAGAGAGCTCGGAACTAAACACTATAGACGGGAACAGACACCAGCGAGTGAGCAGAAACGACCAGCAGAACAAGGTTCACAGAGGCTTCAGATCTGGGGGGATCAGACGGAACATAGAACGAGTCTGTTTCTTGTGAAGGCTTCTAGATGACGCACAAGTGCTGGGGGTGCACCGTGGGTGCTGGCCTTTATCCCCACCTCTCCTGAGGGAAGCCGCTGCGCGTGGCCATCCACCCACCACGCTATTTTCTGTGCCCTCTGCACTCACAGCTCCTACAGGGGCACTACTCGGAGACGTGCTCTTCTGAACCTACTCACACGAGCACAAGGACAAGATGATCTTTAATATAAACAGGGCCCTCGGGTGTAGTGTCCTCGGATCCCTTTTACCTTACATTCTGAGTCTGTGTCAGGATAAGTTACTCCAAGGTCTTTCAGTGGCTCCATAATTTTACCAGTTCTCTGTTGGTAATTAGTTCTAGTTTTTGCTGCTAAAAACAGCACTAAGCCTGACAGACATTGGTGAGCTCTTGTCTGGCGTCTGGAGCACCCACAAGTAGAAGGGCCGAGTCAAAAACTATACGCTTATATTGTCCCTAGAACTTGCCTTCAGGAAGGGCTGAGCCACTCTGGGCGTCAGACACTTGCTGAGCACCTCCTCTGCGGAGACCTTCTGCCGTCGCTCCTTCCCAGGAGGGGTCTGTGTTCTGAGGGAGGGGGAGGCAGGTGCCCAGACACCAGTTAGGAGTGCCCATGTGTATAGGGAAGACCTCGCAAATTTATGAGCCTGAGCCCTGACCAGCGAGGAGAGTGTGGAAAGGGGCTGTGGAAGCAGGTGAGTGAGGGGGAGGTTGTCAGGTAGCTTCCGACCAGGGACCAGGCAGTGCTCAAGTGCAGCCAGGCGCCTCGGGCGTCCTGGGTCAGCTGTGCTGTCGCCTCGCCCCTCCAGGACTCAGCAGGGCCTCTGAAGAGCCAGCTTCCATAGAAAGACGGGGTTAGGGGACAAACCTGACCACCCCTTCGTGCCGCGGGCACAGTTGATATTCAAGCCGCCTCGGGACTCCGGGAGGCCAGTAGACATGCCAGGTGCTGTAAGTGGAGGCGCTCAGTCCCTCCCTCTGGTGACCAAAGGCCCAGCTGGCGGCCATACAGGCCACTCGTGCACACGGCTTACACCTGAAGGTCAGACGGGCTCGAGAACTTGGGGACTGTGGGGTCGGGGTAGAACAGGCCAAAGCCCCAAGTTCCAGACCGAGGAAGCAAGGACTGAGAGGGCGCTGGGGGTTTGGTGTCAGATGGGTGCCCCTGTCTGTCTCCCAACCCCTTGTTCAGTGGTTGAGGCTGCCTTTTCCTTCCTTATAATCCCCTTGTGCTCTCTGAGGAGTAAGGAGAATGGATGAAGAGAAACTGAGGGAGGGTCTAGATCGTCAGCAGGGACAGGAATTCAGGGTCAGTGCTAGATGTTTTGAGGAGATTCTGCCAGATCTGTTGACCCAAGTCTAATCAATTTTCCCGCCTCTCTGATCCTGTGACCAAACCTGGCGCAGGGGTAGCTTAGATAAGTATGCAGGAGGAGCATACTTAGGAGCCAGGAGGGAGAGCCTTTTGGGCGCAGCCCACCCTCTGTCCACGCACAGAGCCCCTGAGTTGGGGGAGCAGCCTGCGGGCTTCTCCCGCGTTGCCGCCTCCCTGTCCCCGGGGAGTCCCAGAGCTGTGCCTCAGAGGTAAGTGACCGCCGGCCAGGTGCAGCGGGGCGTGGTCCCCGCTCAGGCGGGGCGCTCTGGTGCCCTGGGCTTTTCTTCTGAACCCGAACACCAGGGGCTGCCATGGCCACGTGCTTTCTTCTGCCTGCTGAGTTAGTTGCTGCCTGTGGTTCCTGGGCCACTTGACTTTCTGGAACTCCCTTCCCACCTGAATGAGTCTGTATACCCCAAAATTGCAGCATCCCTGTCCCCAGCCTGGTACTGGGTGGGGTGCTGCCTCAGTTGAGAACTGCATCTGAAACGGTGTTTTCTGTTTGTTCCCTCCCTCCCCGCTGTTCCCAGTGTGGTGAAAAAGGACACTACGCCAACAGATGCACCAAAGGGCACTTGGCCTTCCTCAGCGGACAGTGACAGCAGCTGGAGCCGGCTCAGAGCTGCCTGGGGAGCCCCGTGCCGGCGGCGCTCTGGGCCATTCCTGGGAGTGTGCGTTTAACTGTTTAATGCCAGCGTTGGTGCCGCTCTGGCTGGAGCCGGCAGGCAGGCAGGCACCTGGGTTTTATCCTCAGGGGCTCCGTCTTGTCAGTATCCCCGTCATTTTGCTGTAATCTCCTTTAAAAGGGGGACATAGTCCAGTCTGGCCCCTCAGGTTGGCCTCCTGTCTGGGACTCTGCACACCACCCTCTCAGGAGGGAGGGAGCTGTGGGACAGGGCTTGTGCTTATAGCAGTTCTGTAGAGAGGGCAGCCCTTCCCCTCGGGTGTGGGCCTCCTTAAACACCAGGGGCTGGCGGAGTGTTCAAAGCTGCAGCCAAGTCGTGCCCGCTTCCTCCCTGTCCTGCCAAATCAGAGGCTCATCTGTTGGTGGGATTTGAACGAGGCAGCCCCCCAGGGCAAGCTCATGTGCTTGCTACCCCAGCCGGGTCCTGCTCCCTGGTGGCCACGGCTGAGGAAGGGTGCAGGGCCAAGGCTGTCAGGTGTGATGGCCTTTTTCCTCTGGGTGTATCTTCCCGGGGCACCTGCCTGACGGTGTTTAAGGTACACCTTAGCTGGAGCTGCCGCCAGCTCTTCCACAGACACGCAGTCTACCTGCGCACCTACCTCCCAGGCCATCGAGCATCTGAACTGTCAGACACCATGGGCCCAGAGGAGAGGCCCCTGCCTCTGAGCCTGGAAATGTGAAACCGGCACCTGCGACCTGCGGGGCAAATGGGCCTATTCGAGTCCAACTACAGGAACCATTTCTAGGAAGCTGATTAAAGCTTGTTTTGTAAGCTGTGTCTCATTACTTCAGGGACTCCATGACAAGGACAGGGTCCTTACTGCTGGCTGACGGTGGTGCTCCCTCTTGCCCTCTGAGCGAATGTAATCTCATGACACGAAGTGACACTGGGGCGTCAGGGTGGTATACTGGAAGCCTGGTCACGGAGACAGTCACCTGGCAGGCGTCCCTCATCTCAGATGTTGGGAGTCTGGTTCTTTCAACTTCAGATGGTGCGGGAGGTAGTAAGACACAGCATCTCACCCCTGACACTCCACACATGTATATGCTCACCACACACCCCTTAGTAAGAAACTGATTCTGACCTTGCTGTCACTTTACTAAAGGCCTCTGGTGAAGTGTAAGAGGTTGCTGGACACAGCAGTCTTGAGCTCCTGTTGGGACTTGTGCTTTCCCCTCCCACCTGTGTCCTCCCGCTGGCCTTCCTGCAAGTGAGGCTTACTTACCAGGACCAGATGAGCCCACGTGCCTGGTTCCCCGAGATCCCAATAGCCCAGGATGGTGCAGAAAGATGGGGGACGGGAGACCATTCTTAGGAACTAGGGCATCTGCCTTATACTGTGAGTGTCTCAGCTGACAAAAGACCAAAAGTGAGGCAGAGAGAAGATAAACACCTTAGTACTATTGACGGGGCACTAGGTGACCTCCAGGACACTGGGGCAAGATCCTGAAGCTCAAGGTTCAAAGTCCTGGGCTGTCTTGACAGTTCCCTCTGGGAGCTGTAGAACCACCCCACCCCAGCTTGTGCAGCAGGAGGAGCTACAGGGCAGGCAATCGGCTGAGCCAGTGAGGCAGTCCAAGTACCAGTCATGTTTTATTGGATGTTAATTCTCCATTAGGATATGAAAGGATTTGGGGGTGCTGGGCAAAGATGATGGTCAGGAATGCAGAGTGCGCCCTCTTCAGTGGTACTTGCGTAGCCGCTCGTGTTCTGGAGTCAGAAAAGCAAAATGGTAGTTTCTTCACCATTGGAGAAAGCACAGGACGACAGGGAGGGGAGTGGGCCAAAACCGGGTGAAGCCCTCCTGAGAACTCCTTTCAGGAGACACCCCACAGCCTGCTGGTGGAATCAGGAGCTCATCTGCCCCCCCAGCCAGCTCCGCCTTCCCTGAAGGCACTCCCGCCCGGAAGAAACCACCCAAGCAGCCACCCTCAGGGCCAGCGCTGCTCGGGATGCCCCAGGCTGGCAGGGGGCTGGACACCGGCGTGCTCCGTCCGTGAAGCCCGGTCAGTGGCCCCTGCCGGCACTCCCTGGCCTCTCCCTCCAGGCAGGCTCCTCTCGGATCTCAGAATGGGAGACGCCACGCTTTTCCAGAGCTCACAAATAGACTGCAGCCCTCAACACACTTCCCTCTTCACACTGGCTGCTAGGAAGATGAAGCCAAGTTTCCCACCAACCTCTGGCAGAGCCTGCAGTATCTGACAAAGCGCTACCTAAAATTTTCACCTCATGTTCATCTTACTCTTCCTGTCTTTCTCTTTGCCACAGTTTTCTCTCTTAAAACATGCCATATTCTGGTAGGTCTCTCCAATTCTTCAGCTGTCTGTGGCGTGACTTCTAAATGAGAAGGTGAACCAATCCCGCCCTATCAGGGGAAACCCCACCAGAGGCAAAGCAACCCAGAAGAGACTCACTGAGCTCCTTGTAAGAGCGGCAGTAGTTGAAAAACACGTAGGCCGCCAGCACCATCGAGACCCCCGCAATGCTCCCTTTCTTCACGTTCACGTACTTGTTGTAATACCGATAGTAGCCTGCAAACAGGAGGAGGCCACATTCTAACGGGAGAGGGCAAAGCTGAGGACAGGCCTCAGGGCAGGAGGAAACGGATCGCAAAAGACAGCAAAGGCTGGTCAGAATTAGAAAGGAAAACAGAATAAGCCCCCCGCCCCACCCCTCGGGGGGCTGGTGACCACACAGGTCCCATGACATGACACAGGACTGATATGCCTGGTCACGCACTTTCAAAGGACAGACCTGAAAGACCATTTCAAACGTCCATCCTAGAAGTCTGGGCTCGCAGGGAGACGAGCATCGCAGACTGGTATCCCCTGTGCTTCCAGCTCATCTTCTGTAGGCTTAGGACATTTCTTTAACACAGAGGCAGTGGTACACATTCCAGACACGAGAAAACATATTCTTATCTGAAATATTTTCAAGCCAGCCTTTCACAGGACCCATCAAACATGGAAATTCGAGGCCTAATAATCTCACTCTGTCCTCTACATAATTTTCAGGTCTAAAACTGGTCAAGTTAATTCAGGGCAAAAAAAAGACCTGAAGACCCAGAGGATTGCTCTTATTTACACATGCCCATAAGGCTCTGACCTCTTTGAAATGCTCCAGCGATGCCCGAAGGGGTGAAGTCCCGCATCAGTATCCAGCTTGGCAGCTCCCCTAGTTTGACTTCCAGGAGCTTCTTCTCCTTCAGTGGTACTGAAAAGGACAACGCAAAAACACTGAAAGGGTCTCCCAGTAACACAAACAGCATCTGTCTGTGTCACGTCAACCGCTCAATAATGATGCATTCAATAACATCACTAAACAGAGGCTGCATGTAAGTAATATGATGGGTACACATGTCACAGCAAATATATTATCTTAAGCCAGAGTCTATATATCGCAGAACAAGATCCTGAATAACAGCCTGCTAGCAATAACTATGTAAAAAGAGAACTAAGGGCCATGAAGAAGAGATAAAAGTGGAGGATGGATGCCTTTATTTTATAGGGAGGAGTGGGGAAAACTGACTCAGAGAAGTCGGTGAATCCTGAACAAAGGCAGAGAGCCTGCAGGTCGTGGAGGCACAACTCGACCTCAGGTCTGGTTCCCATGCTCCTGAAGCCAATCTGACTCCTACCTCAAGCATCCCACCTCAGACCACAGATGTCAAATGACTTAGTAAAAGCCATTTCAGAGGCCCCATGGGCCCCAGATCATTTCCCATTGAGAATCTGGACACAGGAAGGGCTCTTGTCTGAGGCCATACTGCATTCATCTCTCGGCTTAAGAGTAAAATAGGAAAGGGGCCAGGGAGGGGTTGGCCCTGTGAACGCTCAGATTCATATGCTCATAAAAGGAGGAAATGATCTCTCCTCTGCTGTCCTCTTCCCAGACGTTCACTTTAAAAGGTTGTTTGGCAGGTGCACTCTTCAGAGCAAGGAATCAAGGGGTACTGCTGCTTCTTAAAGATGAGCAGAAGGAGCTGGACTTAATCATTCCAAGGTTTCTTCTCCATTTTCAGGTCTCAGGAAGGCTTGGGCTCCTTAAGGTCCAACCTTGAGAATTCGGGGGCGGGGGGATCCCCCCATGAGCTCTGACCAAGGGCAAGGGCCATCATCAGGCTTAATGGCACATTCACACAGACCATGAAAACATTCACATATCCTGCATTCTTGTTCAGGGGCTGACAAGTGCCTTGGCACATCACAGGAGAAAAAATGTCAACCATTTATTTTTCTTCATATTTATGTATCTGTGGTGATGGTTAAGTCACTCAGTTATGTCTGACTCTTTGCAACCCCATGGAGAGTAGCTCCAAGAGTTATATATCTGTACTATGAAGAAGACAGCATTTCTGTAACCAAAACCAAGAAATGTATAAGCACAGGAAAAAAATACAACACACACACACACACACACACACTTAAGGAGAGCCAAGTACAGCACCATCACAAAACTCCAGGGGACCATCAGATTCATCAGAGATGCATGCACACTCACTCACTCCAAGAGTTTCTCTCTCAGCAGAACACAAGGCCCTAGTCCTTGGCTGCATACTGGTCCTCGCCCAACACCCCTCTGCAGCGGCTGGTTCATACCAGTGGAGCGTGGTGATGCACAGAGCAGACTCCACCATCAAGTACTCTGGGTTTAGTGCCACTTTGACGCTGTGTGCCCTCAGCCAAGTTACTGCCCTCTTTGTGCCTCAGTTTCCTCTTCTGTAAAATAAAGTAGGAATAGTACCCACCCTGCTACTGAACTCTAGGTACTATGTAAATAGGAATTATTATTATCTGTCTTCCTGCCTGTCTGTGAGCTATCTGAAGGTGGGAGTTCCCCACACACAGTTCCTGGTCATGACAGAATTTCACTGAAGGTTAAGAAAAGACCACAGGTTCTTGGGAGGGCAGGTGACTACCTGACTTGATTTTATGACTTCAAGAAGCATACTGTCCACCTATATGGAGAGACACGAAAAGACACAAATGTCTTCTGTGTGCTAAATCCAACCAGAGAGTGAAAGGTTTTAAGTTTTGCAGGTCACACAAGGTCTCTGTAACATAGTCTTAAAAAAAGAAAACACAACTATTTATGCACACATGCCACATTGCAAGTCAGGCAAGATCTTAGTTCCCTGACCAGGAATGGAACCCAAACCCCCACCCCCCACCCCAGCCCCACAGTGGAAGCACAGAGCCTTAACCACTAGACCACCAGGGAAGTCCCTGAACAAATAGTTTTTAAAAACATAAAAACTGTTCTTGGTTCACAGGTCATACAAAAAATAGGCCACAGGAAATCCAGCTGATTGGCCACTCTGTCAACCCAGATCTCATCTATCCCTGTTGGTACTTCCATCACTTTATCTGATAATGAATTCGTGGCTTTATGCTCTGGTGACAGAGATCGCCTAAAAGCTCATCAGTATATGGACTCCAACTCCTTCACCTGGGTGACACTAATGGGCCAGATGTGACATGACCTTACCCAAAGGTCACACAGGGAAAGCTGGATGACAGCACTCAACAGTGGCACAGGCGGTGTTCCGAGCACCTTACAAACATCAGGTGTTAACCCTTAGTTCACAGTGCTCTCCACAACTCTCTGCTACAATAACAAACCAAGACTCAGGTTTCCTTTTCACATGCTGTCCTGTCTACACAACACAACTACCCTGGATAAACATTCTCATGCCCGTTCTTACAGACGAAAAAAAAAAAAGCATCGTTATCATCTTTTTTGACCCCCTTTTCATTTCTCCAGGCTGAGATTTAAGAATATAGAAACTGCAGGAACACACAGCCCCATGAGTCGAATTCTGCCATTATCATGCAGTGTGACCACAGGCAAGCCATACCACATCTCTGACCTGTTACTTTCCTCACCTTTAAAATGGGATCAACGTTCCTGGCGCTGACAAGGTTACTGTGAGGATCCAGAGCTAAAACATGGTGGTTTCAGTATTTCTTAAAAAATCACTGTGGACAGTCTGGTGAGTGTAGAGATTTATACACGCGTATCATCGAAAAGGCTGACGGTCATACGGTCGCTTGTGTGATTAAAAGCTCAGTTTACCACAAGACCCCAGAAGCCGAGGTTTGAATCCCAGCTCAGCCCATGCACCACTAGTGACCTTGAATAGGTCACTTCACCTCTCTAAGCCTATTCAACACACTCAAGCGTCGACCCTTCCGTGGTGTCAGGCTCTGTCCCAGGCATAGCTCCCCCGGGAACTTAATTTGAGCTTCCGCTTAACACGGAGGGCTCAGCTGCAAACAAACTGCCAGAGCATGGATGAGAGTGCCATTCCTCAGCGGGGAGAGGAGGGTGGTCCCAGGCGCGCATTCCCAGGCCCCGAGGCGCGTCGCCGGGATGCCGTCGCCCTCCCGGCCGCAGCCGAGCGGCGCCGGCTCTGGGCAGCCAGGAGGCACCGCTGTGCGAGCGGAGGAGGGTCGGGCGGAGCTGGACCCTGAACAGAGTCCGGTAGGCCTGAAGTGAGGGCGCGGCGAAGGTCCTGAGCGAAGGGGAGGCGGCTCCTGCACTCTGTCCCTCTCTTCCCAGTGTGACTCTGGGCACTGACTATTTATGCACACATGCCACATTGCAAGTCAGGCAAGATCTTAGTTCCCTGACCAGGAATGGAACCCAAACCCCCACCCCCCACCCCAGCCCCACAGTGGAAGCACAGAGCCTTAACCACTAGACCACCAGGGAAGTCCCTGAACAAATAGTTTTTAAAAACATAAAAACTGTTCTTGGTTCACAGGTCATACAAAAAATAGGCCACAGGAAATCCAGCTGATTGGCCACTCTGTCAACCCAGATCTCATCTATCCCTGTTGGTACTTCCATCACTTTATCTGATAATGAATTCGTGGCTTTATGCTCTGGTGACAGAGATCGCCTAAAAGCTCATCAGTATATGGACTCCAACTCCTTCACCTGGGTGACACTAATGGGCCAGATGTGACATGACCTTACCCAAAGGTCACACAGGGAAAGCTGGATGACAGCACTCAACAGTGGCACAGGCGGTGTTCCGAGCACCTTACAAACATCAGGTGTTAACCCTTAGTTCACAGTGCTCTCCACAACTCTCTGCTACAATAACAAACCAAGACTCAGGTTTCCTTTTCACATGCTGTCCTGTCTACACAACACAACTACCCTGGATAAACATTCTCATGCCCGTTCTTACAGACGAAAAAAAAAAAAGCATCGTTATCATCTTTTTTGACCCCCTTTTCATTTCTCCAGGCTGAGATTTAAGAATATAGAAACTGCAGGAACACACAGCCCCATGAGTCGAATTCTGCCATTATCATGCAGTGTGACCACAGGCAAGCCATACCACATCTCTGACCTGTTACTTTCCTCACCTTTAAAATGGGATCAACGTTCCTGGCGCTGACAAGGTTACTGTGAGGATCCAGAGCTAAAACATGGTGGTTTCAGTATTTCTTAAAAAATCACTGTGGACAGTCTGGTGAGTGTAGAGATTTATACACGCGTATCATCGAAAAGGCTGACGGTCATACGGTCGCTTGTGTGATTAAAAGCTCAGTTTACCACAAGACCCCAGAAGCCGAGGTTTGAATCCCAGCTCAGCCCATGCACCACTAGTGACCTTGAATAGGTCATTTCACCTCTCTAAGCCTATTCAACACACTCAAGCGTCGACCCTTCCGTGGTGTCAGGCTCTGTCCCAGGCATAGTTCCCCCGGGAACTTAATTTGAGCTTCCGCTTAACACGGAGGGCTCAGCTGCAAACAAACTGCCAGAGCATGGATGAGAGTGCCATTCCTCAGCGGGGAGAGGAGGGTGGTCCCAGGCGCGCATTCCCAGGCCCCGAGGCGCGTCGCCGGGATGCCGTCGCCCTCCCGGCCGCAGCCGAGCGGCGCCGGCTCTGGGCAGCCAGGAGGCACCGCTGTGCGAGCGGAGGAGGGTCGGGCGGAGCTGGACCCTGAACAGAGTCCGGTAGGCCTGAAGTGAGGGCGCGGCGAAGGTCCTGAGCGAAGGGGAGGCGGCTCCTGCACTCTGTCCCTCTCTTCCCAGTGTGACTCTGGGCACTGGGCCCCAAACCCCGACTCCTGCCTCCACCCGAGTAGCCCTAAATGGACCCGGAGACTCACCGACTGACGCCATCTTGGAGTCCTGCTGTCCGCTCGGCCAGGCCGCGCAAGGACTGTTGGGTAGGGAGCATGCCCTCTGGGGGCCAAAAGCAGAGGCTCACGGGAAGCAGGTCAAGACTGGAAGGAGGCTGGGCTTGCAAGTACGCCATGAGTTGAAGGGCAAAGTAAAGAAGGCAGAGCCCCGCGACCCCGCAGTGGGGAAGCCGGGCGGGAAGGGGGCGAGGGTGAAGGGGTGGGAGTGGAAGTGATAAGGCTCACCTTGGGCTTCCAGCCCCAGAAGGAGATTGGAAGGGACCAAAAGAGGGGGGTGAGGGGGAATAGGGGAAGAGCATCTTAGCTTTCTTACTCTGTCGCCTTAAATTTGTTGTGAAGGATGACGGGGGCATATTAAGATCTTTGTCCCAACTGTGCTTGATGGGAGATTCAAGGAATCCCCGGTCACCAGGAAAAGTCTGTGTCCAGGCTGATTCTAAATACGCTTGATTCCCTCATAGCTCAGTTGGTAAAGAATCTGCCTGCAATGAAGGAGAGTCGGGTTCGATTCCTGGGTCGGGAAGATCTCCTGGAGAAGGAGAATCCCATGGACAGAGCAGCCTGGTGGGCTACAGTCCGAGTGGTCCCAAGAGTGGGACACGACTGAGTGACTTTCACTTTACTTAGGTTTGATTGCAGAGTAACTATGTGTCCAAGCTCTGGGACTGCACCCTAAGGTCGGAAATAAGCAATACCCTAGTGATACACAACTTCTTTTTGCCTTCTCCAGAAGCAATGATGATGCCTCACCACCATCTTGTTCTTTCTGGAAAGGTGGCGATAACCTTTTATGGTTAAGCAATTCTGACTTGGGCAAGATGCTTCAATGGCCTGAATCCTAGTTTTCTTCTCTGTAAAATAGGGATATAATGCTTACCTGGCATCATTGTTGTAGGATTTAAATGAAACAATGTGTGTCAAAATAAAATAATAAGAACTGAGTGGATAGTAGGAATTGGACCCGTGAACTGATGGCTTCCTCAGGAAAGTGACTTGGGAGGACTTAATTATCAAACTCATTTTTATCAGTCACTTATTCACTCACCAAATACACATTGCTATGTACTGAGCACTAGAGACGCTGAAGTCAGACATGGGACTTCTCCGGTGGTCCAGTGGCTGAGACTTGGAGCTCCCAATGCAGGGGGCAGAGCACAGAAGATTTTAAGGGTTTTAAATATTATTTATGATGTTATAATGATGGATATATGCCAGTACACGTTTGTCCCAAACCCATAGAATATACATTGAGTGAACTCAAAGATAAACTATGTACTTTAGGTGATTATGATGTGTCAGTGTAGATGCATTCATCATAGAAAATATAATAGTCCAGTGAGTGGTGTTGATAATCAGGGAGGCTATGCGTGTAGGGTGGGCAGGAAGTATCTGAAAAATCTCTGTAGTCCACTCTCAAACCTAAAGCTGCTCTAAAAAACGGTTTTAAAAAGATGCATCACTCATAGCCGGTGCTCTGGGAAAACCCAGAGGGATAGGGTGAGGAGGGAGGTGGGTGGGGGCTCCAGGATGGGGGGACACATGTAAACCCCTGGCTGATTCATGTCGATGTACAGCAAAAAACCACAATATTGTAAAGTAATTAGCCTCCAATTAAGATAATTAATTAAAAAAGGATGCATCAAGTGCCAGCTACAGTTTATAGCTTGTATCATCTCTCTAGAGAGCACTTGAGCTGCAACATAGAAGCCATGGTTTTCTTCCTGAGTTACTTTCCTGGGTTTGTAGGCGTACTCATTTTCTGGTACTTGAGTTATTTTTTTTATACAACTCCACCTCCTTTGATCATCGTTACTAATTTTCACCCCATTCTTTGTTATGGAAGGAGTGTTTTGCATGTTTTTTTTTAAAAAAAAAATGATTTCTTTCTTCTTTGACTTCCATTAATATTCCGTTAATATTGTAAAGACCTCTTGCAATTCATGGAGGTATTTTGAACTAAATGCTGGTTCCAGTGTTCAGTTTTAGTTGGTGTCTTCTCTTCATGGAGCGGTAAGTTCCTAAGAATAAACTAGAGTCCTGGAAAATTTCAAGTTCAAATTCTGGCACAGAACGGAATCACCCCTCACCCTACCCTACCATAGCCATTAGCCTTTGAGTCCATCTTACCATGTTTCCTTAACAGAAACATCTTCACTTTCCACACCTCTAAACCTCAGGCTCTTTTCTAAGCCATGCCCTGAAGTTTTAATGATTCTTAGCCAACACTAGATCCAACAGACTGCCTCTCTGCACCTGTGAAAACTGTCTCTAGACATTCATAAGACATAGTTTCTCATTCTCTATTCTAATCTCCCTCTGTGACATGCATTTCCTTCAGTCACAGTTATCTACAATACTTGATGGTGTTTTGTGTGTTTTTTTTTTTAACATGGCACAGTATCACTTGATTAAAATGATTGCATGAAACAATACACATTTGCCAAAACTATAGAAACACAGAGAATGACTGTCACATTCAGGATGGCTTTAAAGCTGTCTTTTGTTCAGTTAACCTAAAACATTATTCTCCAGTTGTCCAGAAGTCTTCATTGGGACACCTTACTGTCCTGAAAGGGTACTTTTCGGGAACACCAAGGCATCCGACACACCTCATTTCTCAACCCTACACCTGTTCCGGCTCCCTGAAGCCCATTCCCAGCCCGGTTTCCGGCACTCAGCAGCTCCCTCTGGTGGCCTCGGACGGATATGCACAGGAGCCCAGGAGCGGCAGGTGTTATCATGACCTCAAGCCTGATAATGAGCCAGGCTGGGCCCCAGAGATGTGAGCGCTGGATGCAGCAGCCCCAGCCCTAGTTGGAGGAGGGGACAATGGGCACAGGAAAGCCAAGACCTGAGTTTGTGCCTGTAAGATGAATTGGTGGTAGGGGTAAGGGCAGATTCCTCAGCGGGGTCACCTTTACAGAGCTTCTGGAAGGGATCAGCAGAAGGCACAGAGCCAGAGACCCGTGTCTCTGTGCTCAGACTCTGTCTGTTCAGTACCTGGCCTGTACCTGGGCTTCTATCGTTGTCCTCCCCAAATCTGACCGGTCGGAGGTCAGGGCTTCCGGAGCATCACAGTGGGAGTCTGGTCCCCATCTCCCATCTTGACATGGGTTGAAGACCCTCCAGAACTGCCCGTCATTGTCCTGTTCTGCTGCATCCTGCTTCTTGCGGCTTCTGCCTCAGTCTCCTGGTCCTGCCTGTCCTCTCTCCAGTCCTGTCATTTCTTGCAGAACTGGGAGATGCCTCACAGTTACCAGAGAAATTGCAGCACCTCAGAGACAGCGACTGGCAGCTATCATGATGTCTGGTAGAAGAGGGGAAACACCCCCAGGAAAGCCAGGGTCCCCAGGGCCACGCTTCCTCCCAGCACTGGCTGATTTTGAGGGAGAACAGGGCACATGGTCGAGCCTGAGTAGGGAAGCCAAGCAGAAACGCTTCCTGGAGTCACCCTTCGGGCTTGGGAGACCTCCTCTTACATCTGGGTCCAGGACCCTGACTCCACTGGCAGTTTCCATGGTGACAGTGAACAAGCCTCAGCGTGGTCCTGTCCCCCTACCTTGATTTGCACAAATGAGGTGACCCAGAATGACAACGGGGATGCTCAGATGGGAGGGACTGGGACCTCAAGAAAGGAAGTCCATGTGGGGGCACGGCCCTTGGATGGGTGACCTGGGGTTGCAGGCATCGAGACCTGGGGCTCTGCTGGGAGGTCTGAAGACCTGGGCAGCAGCTCCTGGGAGAACCAGGAATTGGGCTCCAGAAAATGCAGATAGTGCCCAGATGTACACATGGCACCCCACAGCAGAGCTGAGGCAAGTATCAGAGGTGCCATTCACAGCGGAAGCATCTCAGCCTAAGAGGAGCAGTTCAGAGATGAATCCACTCAGGAGGGCAGCTTTTGTCTCGAAGAACAGTGTCACCTTCTCAAATCCCTCTAAACCCCCCTCCCCAAAGCAGTCTCATCAAGTGACTGAATTCTAGGAAGTTGCAAACAGTTCAAATTGGTCTCTGCAGATCCTCTCTCAAAACCATTGAGTTTTGCACAGACGTAGAAAGAAATCTTAGGGTTACCAAAGGGGAAAGCAGGGAAGAGGAGTAAATTAATTATGACTGTGGAATTAACAGATACACACTTATATATTTATAACATACACATGTTAATTGTGTATCAACAATGACCTACTGTATAGTACAGGGAACTATATGCAATAGCTGTAATACCCAATACTGGAAAGGAACCTGAAAATATATAGCTGAATCAATTTGCTGAACATCTGAAATTAACCAAAATTGAAAAGCAACTATGCATGAGTCGTTCAGTCATGTCCAACTTTTTGCGATCCCATGGATTGTAGCTGGCTTCTTTGTCCATGAGATTCTCCAGGCAAGAACACTGGAGTGGGTTGCCATTTCCTTCTCCAAGGGAATCTTCCCGACCCAGGGATCGAACGTGGATTGCCTACGTTGCCGGCAGACTCTCTATGGTTTGGGCCACCAGGGAAGCCTGTAAATCAACTACACTTCAGTTTTTTTTTAACGGGGAATAAAAACCCATTGAGTTTTGTAATTGGAAGTGAAGTCCAGTGAAAGGGAGAAGAGAGATGAGAGTCTAAAGCAAGCTATGCCAAGTGACTAATAGGTTATCTCAATCTGTCCCCAGTTCTCTGATCCCATTCCTGTGGGTGCAATTAAAATAATCTTTTTTCTTGCTGTCCAGCAACACGACCTCCCTGCCACTGGGTGCTCTGGGCCTCCCTCACCTGGGAGCTTCTTGAAGCTTCTCCATGAAGGTGAGGAACAGGGTGGAGGCAGCCAGCACAGAAGGGGCTCCCTGGATCTAATCCAACACATGTACGGGACTACTGATGTACTGGCTTACTGATGTATGCAGTTTTCTTTGAAGTGGATAAAAATAAGATGGGTTGGTGAATAGGGGATGGATGGATATGTGCTAAAGTAAGTGCCTCTAAATATTAATGATAAATGTTTGCAGGATACAGGTATAAACTGTAAAATTCTTTCAGCAATCCATTAGATTTTAAATTTTTCATATTTAAATGCTGGGGAAAACTTTATGAGGTCCTCCCTCCTTTCATGTTTTGTGGAGGTCCCCATGCAAATGATGTGAAGTTTCTTTTTTTTTTAAATTTTTAANATCTGCTTAGGTGGAAAAGAAAATGCACTGAACGAGGCTGACTGCTCAGTATGCCTTTCCTTTTCTCCTCCTGCCAACCCTGAACCTGACGATGGTGCTCACTCAGGCTCTGATGTGTTCCAAGTCTCTAACCACATCTTCCTCTCTGGCTGGTGCTCCAAGCAGTGAGCACCTGTCATGATTCAGCCTCCTCCAGGTTCATCCAGTACCTGCCCACCTGACCTCTTCCATCTCCCTGGTCAAAGAGGTATTGGTCTGCAGATTTTTCGACATTGGAGACGACTCGCTGTGACAAGCACCTGACATCTGAGGCTCTCTTTTGCACTCCGGTGTCCTGCGAGTGGATCTCACCGCCAACAGTACTTTGACACCCTCATGTCTCGTTCCCTTGTCAGCTAGAGTTCCTGAAGCTGGTTGAGATTTCCCATAGTCTCCTGAGGGTCACTGAGCTCCTGGCGTTCATCCTGGGTGGCATCCTGTTGCCACAACTCCACCAGCATCAGAATAATAGTTTTTCCTTCCAACCCAACGGGTCTCAGCTCTTCGGTGTTTCTCTGCCTTTGTTTTTAGCTTCCCCAAGGGGTGAAGAAATGGAAGACCAGAGTCCATGGCCGAGGCTCGGAAGAGGAGCTGCTGCCCTGACTGGTCACCTCTGTAGCGTCATCTTTAAAAGGTGCCTGCAAGAAGGGGCCAGCAAAAGGAGCAGGAGCTGAGGGGCCTTCTCTGGGCACCAAGACTGTGAGTCCAGCGCTGGCCCTGGCGACCAGGGCTTTAGACCCACCCTACACCCCACGTCCGCCCGGCCAATCCCCGCTGAGGCTCGGGACGTGTCACAATGGGGCGTGGTGCCTGTCCCCGTCCCCACCCCCACCTGACTCCCCAGGGGAAGTCACCCCGAAGCAGTGCCGCGGGCCCCCGCGCCGCGGAGGGTCTCTCCCTTCCTTCACCCCACCTACTCTCTGCCCAGGTGAGTCAGTATACGTCCCACAGTTCGTTCGTGAATTTCTTGGAGCTCAGAGACGGTGGTTTGTTCCAGGATCACACCGCCAGCTGGAAATTAAAAGCCCGCTGAACCCAGGACCGCCCAGCAAGGGTCTTACAAGCCCAGCAGAAAGCTGCTTCCGGACAGGTAGTCGTCGGGCGGGGCCACGGAAGCCCCGCCCCAGAAAGCTACGCCCCGCATCCTTGGTGATGGTAAACGAGCCTCAAGATGCCCCTTCTTCTTTTTCTTTTTTTTTTTTCATTTTGCATATTGGTATTTAAGGAAGACAGTCTAACTAGGAATTAGAAGTTTAACTCCGCCAGCAAGCGTGCTGGCGTTCTCCTTGGCGGTTCCTCCGCGGTCTTCGTACTTCGGTCAGCATTTCAAGAACAGCCGGTGCCGAGGCCACGTTGCCGCCAAACCTACTCCCCACTGTCCACACCGGCCTCTCTGGCCCACAAGTGACAGTCTCCTCCTGTCCCGCCTGCCGCCCCCCGGGATGGGGATAGGAAAGCGGGACGTGGGAGGGGCATCCACTCCGCCCCCAACCCCCTCCCCTTCCCGGGTAATAGAGGCTAGGGTGAGACCAGAGTGTATATTTGGGCACTGAACACCAATAAATGAATGTTTCTCTAATATCATTATTTCCCTGAAACCTCGACATCTATAACCAACCTGCTCTGTGTTCATCTGGCTTCTCTTCCCCCTTCTTTCACCTGATGTGCTCGGTCGCCCTCCCCATGGACTGGGTAGCCCGCCAGGCTCCTCTGCACGTCTAATTTACAGCCAGTGCCACAGATCTCACTGGGCGAGAGAGGAGCCGTCCTCTCACCACCCAGAAGTGAAATAAAGTTTTCCATAGTATCCTTGTTTAATGCACTATGGGAGAGCGTCTGTCCCCCCTTCTCTTGCTAGAAAAGACAAATCTGAAATAAAAGACTTAGGATGCCTCCCTTGTGGTTCAGCTGGTAAAGAATCCGCCTGCAATGCGGGAGACCTGGGTTCGATCTCTGAGTAGGGAAGATCCCCTGGAGAAGGGAAAGGCTACCCACTCCAGTATTCTGGCCTGGAGAATTCAGTCCATGGGGTTGCAAAGAGCGACTTTCACTTTTTACTTCAGTCTCACTATATATTCTTCTATGGTTCAGTGATAAAGAATCCGCCTGCCAATGCAGGAGACACAAGAGACATGGGTTCGATCCCCGGGTTGGGAAGATCCCCTGGAAAAGGAGATGGCAACCAGCTCCAGTATTCTTCCCTGGGAAATCCCATGGACCTAGGAGCCAGCCTCACTGTGAAAGGGATTTGCTCCGTTGGTTATGTGGTTATATCTTTCTTTCCGGCATCTTCAAATTCTATCTTTTCAATTAACCCTTTCTTCAGCATGCTAACATACCTTGATCTATCACCTTAAACAGTCTATTTATGCCACTTTGCCCTCTTCAAAACTGCTATTTCTCTGGGTTACTTTGGAGTTATAAAACTTCTAATTTTTAATGTTTTTAATGGAAGTATAATTGACTTAGAATATTTCAGGTTGCAGCAAAGTGACTCAGATATATATACATCCATGGCTCAGTGGTAGAGACTCCTGCCAATGTAGGAGACACAAGAGACACGGGTTCAATCCCTGGGTCGGGAAGGTCCCCTGGAGAAGGAAATGGCAACCCGCTCCAGGATTCTTGCCTGGGAAATGCCATGGACAGAGGAGGCTGGTGGGCTACAGTCCATAGTGTCGCAGACAGTCGGACATGACTGAGCATGCATTCTTTTTCAGATTCTTTTCCATTAAAGAATATTGAAAGATATAGCACAGCTATAGAGTAGGTCCTTGTTATTTATCTATCTTATATAGTGTGTATGTTTTAATCCCAAACTCCTAATTTACCCCGTCTCCCATGTGTGAATATGTTATTTTTTTAAGCAAAAAAAAAAAAAAAATCTAAGCCCCTTTTTGTTAAAGGGAAGTTGTGTTCCTCCCTAGGTGTGATAGACCCCCGCCGCCCCACCCCCCACCCCGGCAACTTGCAAATCCTCGTGGCGTTCCGCCTGCAGAAGGACTGGGAAAAAAGAAAGCACCCGGAGCGCCAACCCCGCCTTCCCTTACAGCCGAACTTCTCATTTCCAATCTCTTCCCGAACATCTCTCCCTCAAAAAAAACCTCTGTAGGGAGAGTGGGTTTCCAGAAATGACGGGGGTCGAATATTCCTTGAGTCCTAAACTCCTGACCCTGCTTCATTTACATCTCACTTTGAATAGACTCATCCTAAAAGGGACAAAGAGCGTGAGAGCAGAAAAAGAAAACAAACAAAAGCAGAACAGAGCTAACACCCGACAACCTCTGAAATTGTCCCCCTAAGGCGTTACGGGAAAGCAGCCACCGGGACCTCGTGGCGCAACGGTAGCGCGTCTGACTCCAGATCAGAAGGTTGCGTGTTCAAATCACGTCGGGGTCAAGGCACTTTTTTCTCTTGCGCTAAGAGATAAATTCGGTAGTGAACCAAACAATTGTCTGTCCGCGGGCTCGCAGCAGAAGATTTTCTCCTATCTTTTCTTTAGTCCAGAGAGACTTCTTGTGAACCATTCAGCAATAGACAGGCATTAACTGAAAGGTAAGAATGCCTTAAAAGGGAAGATAAACCCAGGTGAGCCAAAATGTCAGTTGTTTGGTTCTTTTCCTTATCAGGACTAAGCTTCAGAGGGTACATAAGATGACTTCAGATGGGACCGTAAAACAGGATGTGAGGAGATTTTGCTAATGAATTCACCCTGATGTGAATATAGTTTTATTGGGTCCCCACACAGGTATGGTATAGTCTCCCTGGGTTGATATTTGTGTCACTTTGATGAAGTCAGGTTCTCTGCCCTCTCACCCCACCCCAACCACCAGCACCCCACAAACTTCATGGTTTGAGCTTCCTCTGTCAAAAGCCCCCTGAACATTGTGGTTAAAGACAACATACTGTGAAGCTGATTAAAAAGTTATTATGTTGATGATGGAGTTTTTGGACTCTATGGGATTGGGAAAAAAATTACTCTGGAATTTACCATGCTCTTAGTTAGATTTCATTGAAATGCATATCTCCCAGAGGGATATGATTCAATCAAGTTTCAGATACATGACCTGAGCAAGGAAAAACCCAAGTTAAAGGAAATGGAGATTGTTGTAGACTTACCAGGACTTAGCTTTCACTTAGTGAATTAATTAAGCTGGTCCCAATCCCCCTTCAGTTTGAAAGTCTGTCCATTTCTGAGCTTAATAAATGAATAGATAGGTAAACAGTGATTAGGGCTCTGTGCTGTCAGAGCTGAGGGTCTGGTTCCGTTAGGGGAAGCACACTGATTGAAACCGCCCACCCTGGCCAGGCACCACAGTAACCATTTGCATGAGTTGTGTTAGGACAGGAGGTCCTGGTAAGGAAGGAACAGGGAACCAATGAGCCTCCCCCAACCAGAAGAGTTCGGGAAAGGTCAAAAGGAGACACCACCTGTCCGACCACCTCCCAGAATCCTTCTCTCTGGCATCCATCTTGGCTGAACAAGGCGCGCACCACCAGGAAGACCCTGAGTCAGAATGATTGGCTAACGACCACCCGGAAACTAATCCCATCACCATAAAACCGAGACTGCAAGCCATGAGACAGAGCAGTTCTCCTGGGTTCCCTTACCCCCCTGCTCTCCACCCGGGCGCCCTTTCCCCATAAAATCTCTTACTTTGTCAGCACATGTGTCTCCTTGGACAGTTCATTTCCGAGTGTTAGACAAGAGCCCAGTTTCGGGCCCTGGAAGGGGTCCACTTCCTGCAACAGTTCCATCCATGGTGAAAAAAAGTGTTAGTCACTCAGTTGTGTCGGACGGTTTGTGACCCCTGTGGAGCCCACCGGTTTCCTCTGTCCGTGGAATTCTGCAGGCAAAGAATACTGGAGTGGGATTCTCCAGGCAAGAATACTGGGGTGGGTAGCCATTCCCTCCTCCAGGGGATGTTCCCCAGGGATTGAACCTGGGTCTCCTGCATTGCAGGCAGATTCTTTACCCTCTGAGCTCCAGGAAAGCCCTCAGTGATGGGGGAATTAAAGTCTTGCCGCTGGGCAGGAGGAGGAAGAAAAAAAAAAAGAAAACCCCGCCTACAAATTGTGGGTGGGTTTTTGCTTTTGAATGTATATTTATTTGGCTGCGTCACAGAGACCTTAGTTTTCGAACAAGGGATCGAACTTGTGTCCCCTGCATTGTAAGGCAAAATCATTAGCCACTGGCCCACCAGAAGAGTCTCAAAGGTGTGGTCTTTAAGAGCGTAATAGTGAAATCTCAGGATTGAGGGTTTAACAGTTACCTGGATGACAAGGTAATGTGTTTTATGTATTAGTCTGTTTCATATTTTATGTGCTAACTTCCTCACTACTCCGTCGCATAACTCAATATTTGTTATCCATTGCGTCCAGAGGGTTTGGGATGTATTAATAGAACAGGGAAGCTTGGCGTGCTGCAGTCCATGCGGTCGCAGAGTCGGAAACGACTGAGCGACTGAATTAGGAACAAGCAAGGTGGAAAGGTGGAAAAAGTAGTAGAGGTAGACAGAGTTAGGGGAAAGGGGCTCGGACAACAGGAGCCTCTCCTGCTGAAAGAACCTGCGGTCCCCGGACTTCTGAGGATCCGCCCATCCTCCGAGCAGCGCTGCGGGACCGGCCCCTTCTCCCGGACCGAAGTTCCCAGAGCGCCTAAGCCAGAGGAATGTGTGTGTTTGTGCGGGTGGGGGTGGGGGGTTCCCACTGACACAGTAGCTGCCTAAGGATCAGCAGGTGCCAGGGGGAAGTTCCACCATCCAGGGAAAGCGGAGGGCAACTCGTGGAAGGAAACGCTGAGGTCACTTGTCCTCCCTTCCTGGCGCTTTAGCTGGAGCCAGTCCTACTGCGAGGGCACGGAAGTGGTTTGGGGACCAGACCTGTGCTCCCCGCTCCTTAGGTCCGTGTTCCTGCAGGACTGACTCTCCACGCTACCTGCCTGGGGCCGGTCATGCTCGACATTTCCTCCATCCCTTCAGCACCTCCAGATGCCTGAGACTTACTGCTGCAGCACTGACATGCGCCGGCTTCTGTAAAGAGAAACGGGCGCTGCTGGGGGAGTCCGCTATCTACGCTGGTTGCTTCGCTTCTGAAGGTTTTCTCCTCTTTAGAGTGACTCTAAAGAGCGGTTATTGTCATTTATTTCCCAAGCATTTGCAAAATCGTAACAGGATTACACTCACACCCACACACATCCACATAATGTTCTAGGATGTCCAAGCCCCCTTCGAGCTGTGGTCAAGAGAATAAAATAAACTGGGCTCTCAGGGAGGTCCCTGTCTCCTAATCAGTCTGTAGAGATTTTGACATGTGAGAAGCAAAACACAAAACAGAGACTGAAGAGACGATATGATCAGAATGGAGACCCTCTCCCTCCAAACCTTCATGTACTTGAGTCACACCTCTGAGGAAGAGTTTTTATTTTGCCCTAGTTTGTAAAGAATGCAATTACTAGTTGTTGTTTTTAAGAGTAAAATATGTTTTTTATAAGAAATTTTGTCAAACACAGGACATTCTGTTGAGAAAACTTAAAATGATTCAAATTCAAACATCTCAGAGAAAACCAAGGCTGTTGTGTGGATGGACAACTTCGCTGGGATTTTTCTGTCTCTACATCCTTACACATTGTAGGGAGGCAGAAAAGGAAAGACGACCTCAACAGAAGTAGGTTACGTTTATTCAGGCAAGGAGGGGTGACAGTCGGCCTAACGACCAGGCTGATCGCCGAGAGGGATCAGGGAGGCATCATACTTATAGGGAGGTTTGTGGAAGCGATAAGGGAAACGTTAATCAGGCAGGATATTTTGACTATTCTTTTGTTGAGATAACATTTGTAGTTGGGCAGGGGGTGATAAGTCCCAGATAGATGCAACCGGCCTGGAGCATCAGGGTGGAACTAAAATTCTGTTTTTACTCCGAAGTTAGATGATTCAGCAAGGGGCCTTTGAGACTGTTGTCCTCTTTTCTAGGTCCAAAAGACTCCACACATCTTATGAAAGTCTTCCTGTAAAACAATTTCCCCGGTTTTACCACACTTTAAATTGAATGTGTTTCAAAATATCTCTGAACTGAGATATAATTCACTCTTTTAAAGCATATGGTCAGGACTTCCCTGGTGGTCCAGTGGCTAAAACTGTGCTTCCACTGGAAGAGATTCAGGTTAAATCCCTGGTTTGGAAATTAAGATCTTACATGCCCAGTTCAGTTCAGTAGCTCAGTCGTGTCCAACTCTTTGTGATCCCATGAACTGCAGAACGCCAGGCCTCCCTGTCCATCACCATCTCCCAGAGCTTGCTCAAACTCATGTCCTTCAATGGCTCGGTGATGCCATCCAATCATCTCATCCTCTGCCTTCCCCTTCTCCTCCCGCCTTCAATCTTTCTCAGCATCAAGGTCTTTTCAAATGAGTCGGTTCTTCTCATCAGGTGGCTAAAGTATTGGAGTTTCAGCTTCTACATCAGTTCTTCCAATGAATATTCCGGACTGATTTCTTTTTAGAATTGACTGGTTGGATCTGCTTGCAGTCCAAGGGACTCTCAAGAGTCTTCTCCAACACCACAGTTCAAAAGCATCAATTCTTTGGTGCTCAGCTTTCTTTATAGTCCAACTCTCACATCCACACGACTACTGGAAAAACCATAGCTTTGACTAGATGGATCTTTGTTGGCAAAGTAATGTGTCTGCTTTTTAGTATGCTGTCTAGGTTGGTCATAGTTTTTCTTCCAAGGAAAAGGGTGGGACAAAAAAGAAGTACAGAGAACTGCTTTGGGTATGTTCACAGATTTGTACAGCCTTCAGCACAGTCAACTTTAGAACAATTTTTTTAATATCACCAAAAATAACTCTTTACCCATTAGCACTCACCCTTCACTCCCTTCTGCCCCTGTCCCCTCCAGCCCTAGGCAATCACTAATCTATCTACTTTCTGTTTCCATAGATTTACCTATTCTGGATACTTTCTATAAATGAAATGAAACAATGTTATCTTCTGTGTCTGGTTTCTCTCACTTTCATGTTTTCATTTCATTAAGGAGTTTACATTTTACTCCAGGGCAGAAGGAGTTACTGAAGTGTTCTGAGAAGAGTGACAAAAATAGATTTAATTTTTAAATCATCTTGGCTGCTTTGAATAGCACGGATTGAGGAAAGGCAAGATTAGAGGTGGAGAGTGTTTAGGTGACTATGGCGATTTGGACTAGAATGCCAACTGAGATGCAATGGGTTTCTCTGGATTTCTGTGATGAACACAGGTAGAGCCTCCGGTGTTCTTGAGCCTGAGGGTATAAGTATCTTTTGTCTTGTTTGATCTTTGGTTCTAGGGAGTGGCCCTCCCCGTAGTGATGTTCCTAGGTCCGCACGATTCTCCGTTTGCTTCTTTCTCACATCTTTTTCTTGCTAACTCAGACTTCTTTCATCTATCAGGAGAACGGCTTCTCTCTCACCCCTTCCAATGCTTTTTAAATCAGCCAGAATGCTTTCAACCAAATCAGCGTTAGCATTAGGTTTCCAGAATTGAGACTATCATAAGAAAGGAGAAATATAGCAAAAATACTTTGTGTCATAGCGCCGCATCGCCCACCCCAGCGAATAATCAGACTTTAAAATCGCTCAGAGCTTCTCCGTTTATTCAGAAAAGAGATCAGGTGGAGAATGATCTCCACTTCGAGGCCGACTGGGAAGGCCCGCAGTTCTCTCCTCTCGCTCTGCAGACGCCCCCAGGACAGACACCGCTGTCCCCGAGCCCTCTGGGAAGTGGAGTCCTTCCGCTGGGACCCCCGACCCGGCGCGGTCGTCTCCAAGTGCGCAGATGCGACTCCAGACAGAGCCTCGGGCTCGAGCCTTTTGTCTCCCCGCAGCTCGGTGGGTCCAGAAGGCAACGGTGTCCGCCTCCCCCGCCCCTCCCAGAGCGCAGCCCGGAGGGGATCCAGCCCTGGAGCCGGAGCCAGGTCCGCAACGAGTCCGTGGGTAAGAGAAAGCGGGTCAGAGGCGCGAGTCTCCGCGACCCGCCCGTCAAGCGCGCCGCTCTAACGTCACCTGCGGCAGCGCGGGCCAGGCTCTCAGGTTCTGGCCTCAGCGGGAAAAGGGCTAGGCCTTGCCTGCCTCCCGGCCCCATCCCCCGGACGCTCCGCCGGGTATTTCCGGTTGGGTAGCGAGCTGGCTACCCTAGTCCTGAGCGAAGGGGCGCCCCGGAAGCGAGGTTGCCGCTACGTACTCTGGGAAATGGAGTTCGGGAGCCTGAAGGGCCCGTGGCCGACGGGGGAGTTGGGGAAGGGGTGAACGAGGGTTGGAGGGCTCGGCTTCCGAGATTCGGAGAGCGAGAGCGCCTCCCGCTGGTGTTGGCTTTAGGTCCTATCACTCCACTGAAACACTGCAAGTTCTGAACTTTGGGGACAGAAAGAAAAGAATGGAGTCCGTGTAGGACTCATTTCTCTTCTGTGCTTGCGCAGTTAGAGTCTGGTGGTTTAGTCATTAAATCGTGTCCGACTCTTGTGACCCCCACGGACCATGGACTGTAGCCCACCAGGCTCCTCTGTCCTTGGGATTTCCCAGGCAAGAATACTGGAGTAGGTTGCCATTTCCTTCTCCCAGGGATCGAACCCGAGTATTGCAAGCCAACTCTTTAACAACGGAGCCACCGGGGGTGAGGGATGGGGTGGGGTGGGGTGTCTGGATTAGAGTTTTGGGGGCTGCCTATATTTGGGGTCCAGGGTAAGGTGTTCGACTGTGAACGTGCAAGGGGTATCCCGGGCTGTTTATTTTCAGGGTCTTAAAGAGCGAGCGAAGAATCAGATGTTCAAGGACCCCATCTATCAGTTGCCCTGTTTTGTGAGTAGGAAGGATGGAGTAACTACTTTTAGTTATTGCGACGTTAATCACAGGCCGGCTTATAGCCATTTCTGTGCTTCAGGGTCTTAGGAGAATTTGTGGATCATACAGAACCAGTGTGTGACTAAGGCTCACAATCACTGCCCTGGCTCTCTCCTGCTTTTGCCTCGGTGTAGAATGTAGTGTCTGACCTGGGGACTCCAGAGGAGGGTCTTCCAGCTGTGAAATTTAATCTAGGCTAAATTATGAAGGTTCTAAGTAAAACAGAGTTACTGTTGAGGCCCTAGGACTTAAATGTGTGGAAATAAGCCTCCTAGGAGAAGAGGTAGAGGGAGATGCCCCAGAGAGTAGTAATCAACTTCAGAGCGGGGCAAGGCTAACCCCAAAATCTCTCCCTGAAGCTTCAGAGTAGAGTTGAATGATTTATATGAAAAAGTGGATTATATATTGCTGAAGAGTCCATGTTTATCTCGTCTGAAACAGTGAATTAGGAGGAAGTCCTAGCAATAACAAGAGGACAAGGAAAAGCTGATCATGGATTATCTGACCATTGAAGTTGAGGAAAATGGTAAGAATTACACAAATAAACATGGAGTTGAAAGTGGGGACAAATGGAGGAAATACCCTCGATAAGAATGAAAAGGTTAGGTGCCCCTGCATGACGGGAAAGGGAAACAGACACATGTCAGGAGAAGACCCCGAAGTAGAGAAACTGTAATCCGCCATGTTTGGAAATCCTAAGTAGACTCCTTGTCACACATTCCCCTCTCTCATCTTCCTCTTTCAGCGCTCTGTGCTCATACACATTCCCTTTGAGGCCGTGGAAGGGAGACTATTCCATAGTGCTTGCTTTTGTGGTAAAGAACAGGTCACACTTTTCCACTCCCATAGGAGTGTACCAAAATATTGACATACTATGTGTGCATTTGACTTTTTGGTCAAAGTGCTCTCCTGTTATTATCTTCCTCTATCCTTATCTGATCTTTTTGAGTTAAGTAGAGTAGGTCTTGCGTATACAATTCCTCTGGCTTGTGATAGCTTTTGTCCTTGTGAATCTGTAAGTGGGAAGATAGAATTTACCCACTTCATGGCTTTACTTCTGCTCCTTCCAGCTGTGACTACAGAAGATGCTTCTTTGTCCCCAGAGCAGAGCACAGAAGGAATGGAGCCTCCTGGAGAGCCTCTTCCTGTTGAGTTCCAGGTGAGTTTGCATTCCATTTCCCTCCTGTGAAATCTCAGCCTGCTGTTCAGAGTGTGTCCTCATTTCTTTCTTTCATCTCACTTCAGAGGTTCATGGAAATATCATCTGGAGAACTGAACCAAAGTAATTTTTCCTTGGAGACTTGAAGCTCTGTGGGGAGCTCAGGCTGGAGCTTTAAATTTGGGAGGAATCTGTATGAATGATATTTCACGCTATGAAGCTGTAATAACTAAGCAAATGAATGTAGGAAGAAAGAGATGAGATCTTATTACTGTAGCTTCTAACACTTTGAGGTCAGGGAGATGAAGAGGCAAAGGAGACTGAGAGGATGTGGCCAGTGAGACAGGGAGGGGAGGCCAGAAGTGTGCCATTCTGGTAGCTTTACAGACTCACAGGTGTAAAATTAGTGGTTACCAGCTGTGGGGGTGGGGGGATACACGGTTGGGGAGTGGGAAGTACGAACTATTGGGTGTAAAAGAGGCTCAAGAATGTGTCACGCAGGGACTTCCCCTGGTGGTCCAGTGGTTGAGGATCTGCCTTATAATGCAGAGGATGTGAGTTCAATCCCTCGTCCAGGAACTGAGATCTTGTGTGCCTCAAGTAAAACCCGCAACTAAGATCTGACACAGCCTAATAAATATTTGTGAAAAGAGAATGTGTTGTGCAACAGGGGAAGTATAACCAATATTTTCTAATAACTATAAATGGAAAGTAACCTGTAAAAATTGTATAAAAAATAAATTTAAAAAAGAGTCTAACTTTGATGTCAGACTGCCTGGGTCCAAATCTCAGATCTGTTCTTACATCTGTAGATAATGTTAATAATGGTACTTACCTAATATAGTTATTACAAGAGGTTGTTCAAAGGACTTAATACATAGAAAAAAATGATAAATGTTAGCTATTATTACTGTTTTCCCTAACTCTGACTAATGCTTAGAAAATTTAGAATATTCCATTAAAATGGTTAAAATAAAGGTTTAACCTTCAGATTAAAAAGAACCTCCTATTCCAGATTGTTCTCTTCCCTCAAGGATCACCAAGTCCTATAAGAATGTACTTATTCTTCCAGGAATTGACAACAGTCAAGGATGAGGAAATGGACTTTACCTGTGTTGAGGAGGAACAGATAAATTCTGCCCGAAGGTACATGGGCATGGATATGAAGGTGGAGAATTGTGGGAACCTGGTATTTTGGGGTAAGGAAGTTATATTTCAATGCATACTGCTTACTGTGACATAAAACTTCTGCTGTGACTAATAACATCTAAATGCCATAGTTTATGCTTATGATCCAGAGAGCTCTGATCCTGTAGGGGATCCCTGATCACTTTGAGCTCAGAATTGGGCTTATTTTCTCTATGGGAATGTAAAAGTTCACCATCTGTGGAACTGAAAAAGGAGAGCTCCTTTACATATATATATATTTAATTTTATTTATTATTTTTATTTTTCTGGCTGTGGTGTGTCTTTGTTGCTGCTCGGGCTTTCTCTAGTTTCAGAGAGCAAGGTCTACCTTCTACTTGTGGTGCGTGGGCTTCTCATTGCAGTGGCTTCTCTCACTGTGGAGCATGGGCTCTAGGGCGTGCGGGCTTTACTAGTTGCAGCCCACAAGCTTAGTTGCCCTGCAGCATGTGGAATCTTCCTGGAGCAGGGATCAAACCCATGTCCCCTGCATTGGCAGGTGGATTCTTAACCACTAGACCAGCGGGAAGTCTTGGATGATGTCTTTAAAGGAGACAGTGGGAAGGGGCAGGGACCATAGAGGGGAGCCTAAGACAGAACACTGAGAAGCATCAATATTTCAGAAGAAGAAACAGCAGGAAAACTTCCAGATAAGTAGAGGGATCAGGAGAAAAAACCTGGAGAGCTTAGCAATACAGAAGTCAAGAGAGAATGTATGTTAGTTCTATCTCAATAAAGATGGGGAGAAAAGCACCAGGAAAATGTTGTAAGGAGGAGCACATGGTGTCAAGTGCTGTTGAGGAGCCCGGGTGATCTACAGATGAAAAAGATCCACTGGATTTAGGTGACATATAAATGGTNGATCCACTGCATTTAGGTGACATATAAATGGTTAGTGACTTCAGTGAGACCAATTCCAACTGAGTGGTGGGGGGAGAAGCCAGACTGTGGTGAGTCAGGAGCAAGTGTGTGAGGAGATGATGTTCAAAATCTGATAAATTTGACTTTGGCAATAAAAGAAGGAAGAAAGAAAGGTGAGAGAGAGAGAGAGAGAGAGAGAGAGAGAGAGAGAAAGAAGGGAAGGAAAGAATGAAGGGAGGGAGGGGTCAGTGGTTAGTGGAGACAGACCAATTCCAACTGAGTGGTGGGGGGAGAAGCCAGACTGTGGTGAGTCAGGAGCAAGTGTGTGAGGAGATGATGTCCAAAATCTGATAAATTTGACTTTGGCAATAAAAGAAGGAAGAAAGAAAGGTGAGAGAGAGAGAGAGAAAGAAGGAAGGGAGGAAGAAAAGAAGGGAAGGAAAGAATGAAGGGAGGGAGGGGTCAGTGGTTAGTGGAGACACACAATCATAGGGAAAGCATATGCTAAACAAACAAAAAAATCTGCTTTTAAAAAAGGACTAAAGATAATGATTTTAAAAAATCAAATATGGTTGTCTCTAATACATGTCTTCATGTAAGTGATTTTTTTGTCCAATACTTTTTCAAAACTGCCCAGTCTCGACCTGTGTTTTCATCCCCCCACCCCGCCCACTTCCTTAGTTATTTTGTTAACATTTATTTTCATCCTGCCTGCTTATCTTCTTCCGTGGCTAGTCTGTTCAGTTTTCCATTCTTTCAGGTGTAGCATCGTCATTGTCTGACCTTGTATTGTGCTTCATCTTCATCATTTTCCCATCTCTGTTATTCACTGAAACTTTGCCACCTGCCATTGCCATGAGGCTTTTTCTGAGAACATTCAAACAAACATTTTTAAAGGACATCAATTTAATTTTCTTTAACTTCTTGCCACCTCAGCAGTTTTCCTTCTGTCCACACAGAGAACACAAATATTTGTACTGTTTATTTATTTCAGATTCTGAATCTACACCTGAAACTAAAGTGTCCCTTTCAATGCAAGAAGTTTCTGAAGGAGTATCATCAGAAAGGGAGCTGATAATAGAAAGACTTATAAAGGATGATTCCTGGGACTCCAGATGGATAAGAACCTGGGAATATGGAGGCATGTTAGAAAGGCAGCAAGGAAATCAGAAGAAAGATTTAAGGCAAGTCATAATTAAGCACAAGAGAAACCCTATGGAGGATTGTACTGAAATAGGGGAAAGTTCAAACCCAATTAAACATCTGAACATTTACTCAGTGAAAAAGCCTTGGAAGTGCAGTGAGTGTGACAAGTCCTTCAGCTACTACTCAGCTTTTATCCTCCACCAGAGGATTCACACAGGAGAGAAGCCCTATGTATGTACTGAATGTGGAAAGGCCTTCACCCGGAGCTCATCCCTTATCCAGCATCAGAGAATCCACACTGGAGAGAAACCCTATGAGTGTAATGAATGTGGGAAAGCTTTCAGTCACCGATCAGCCCTTATTCAACACCATATCATTCATACGGGAGAAGAGCCCTATGACTGCAGTGGATGTGGAAAGGCCGTCAACCAGAGCACGCACCTCATCCAGCACCATAGAATACACACTGGAGAGAAACCCCGTAAATGTAAAGAGTGTGGGAAAGCTTTCAGTGACACCTCCTCCCTTATTACACATCAAAGGGTCCATACTGGAGAAGAGCCCTATGGGTGTAAGGAGTGTGGGAAGGCCTTTAGTGACAGGTCAGGCCTTACGCAGCATCAGAGAACTCATACAGGGGAGAAGCCCTACGAATGCAGTGAATGTGGGAAGGCTTTCAGTTACTGTTCAGCTCTTATTCAACATCAAGGAACCCACACTGGGGAGAAACCTTACAAATGTCATGACTGTGGGAAAGCCTTCAGTGACCGCTCAGCTCTCATAAGACATCAGAGAATTCATACTGGAGAGAAACCTTACAAGTGTAAAGAATGTGAGAAAGCCTTCAGCCAGAGCTCATCCCTAACGAAGCATCTAAGAACTCACACTGGAGAGAAACCATATAAATGCAATGATTGTGACAAAGCCTTTAGCCAGAGTTCTTCTCTTATTCAACACCAGAAAATTCATGCAGGAGAAAAATGCTACAAATATAAGAAATGTGAGAAAACTTTCAGTATGTGTTCAGCCTTTCATCAACATGGAGAAATTCATGATGAATATAAGGCAGTGAATTGATGAAATAATTATGCACTATCTCCTGATTGTACAGACCTCCAAATATTGGTCTTCCCAAGTGGCACTAGTGGTAAAGAACCTGCCTGCCAATGCAGGAGACATAAGAGATGGGGGTTCCATCCTTGGATGGGGAAAATCCCCTAGAGGAGGGCATGGCAATCCACTCCAGTATTCTTGCCTGGAGAATCCCTTGGACAGAAAAACCTGGTGGGCTACAGTCCAAAGGGTCACTAAGAGTCAGACATGACTGAAGTGACTTAGCATACACGCATAAGATGGACCTAGAGATTATCATATTAAATTAAGTAAGTCAATGGAGAAGGAAATGGCAACCCACTCCAGTGTTCTTGCCTGGAGAATCCCAGGGACGGCGGAGCCTGGTGGGCTGCCATTTATGGGGTCGCACAGAGTCGGACACAATTGAAGAGACTTAGCAGCNATTGAAGTGACTTAGCAGCAGTAAGTAAGTCAAACAGAGAAAGACAAATATGATTTATATGTGGAATCTAAAAAATGATACCAATAAACTTATTTACAAAACAAACGGACTCACAGACATAGAAAACAAACTTCTTCTTACCAAAGGGAAAAGGTCCGGGAGGGGGGTAAGTTAGGAATTTGGAAATAACATATCCAAACTACTATATATATAATAGGTAAACAAAAAGGACCTACTGTGTGGCACAGAGAGCTATGCTCAATATTTTATAATGACCTATAACAGAAAAGAATCTGAAATAGAATATATATATATATAACCAAATCACTTTGCTGCCTACCAGAAACTAACACATTATAAATTGACTATACTTCAATAAAAATAAGTCAGTTAATTAAAAAAATCCTTAGGTTAATCAGTGTGCAACCAAGATGAAAAGTACCACTGATTGAGATTCTTTCTGCACAAGGATCAACTCAATGTGATAGGACGGTTACAGGCAGCCAAAAGGATATTAACAACCTCCATTAGCTCGCAAGAGCTCTTTGTGTCCTTGTTTCTGCTTTATCTTTCTCCTGCTAATAACATCATCTTTTTAAATTAATTAATTAGACTGCACTGGGTCTTAGCTGCTGCACACAGTGTATTCACTGAGACGTGCGGGAACTTTCATCACAGTGCACAGAATCTTAGTTGCCCCATGGCAGGTAGGATCTTAGTTCTATGACCAGGAATCGAACCCCTGCCTCCTGCAGTGGAAGTGCAGAGCCCTAACTATTGGACCACCAGGAAGTTCTCTGTAGGCTGGTCAGTGATGGCCATTCTGACTGATGTGAGGTAGTACCTCATTGTAGTGTTGGCCTAAATGTTTCTACAGCTAACAGTGTGCCTGTTGGCCATTTGGATGTCTTCCTTGGAGAACTGTCTATTTAGATCATCTCCCCATTTGTTTGATTGGGTTGACTGGTATTTTGTTATTGAGTTGTTTGAGCTGTTTGTATATTTTGCAAAGTAAGCCCTTAGTTGCAAAATTTGCAAAAACTATATAGTAGTCTGTCTTTTCATTTTCCTTATAGTTTGCTTTGCTAAAGCTTGTAAGTTTGATTAGGTCTCATTTGGGAGACTGAGTTAAGAAAACATTGGTTTGATTTATGTAAAAGATACTTTAAATACAGAAAATTCAAAAGATGAAAAAGGATATACAATGAAAACACTAATCATAAAAAGCTGGAGTGGATATATTAATATCAGATAAAATAGAATTTAAGAACAGATATTATCTTAGATATAGAAGGATTTTATGATGATGAAAGGATCAATTCACCAAGGTGAGTAATTGTTGAGTGTGTAATTAAGTCACAATTATGAATGCGATTTTAGTGTTACACATAAAATTTAGAATTCTGGGTTATTAATATATTATGTGCTTAATATCACACCCTCCAAAATCACAAAGTAAAGACTGACAGAACTAAATAAAAATAGAAAAATGGGCAATTTTATAATTAGAAATTTTAACACTTCATTCTCAGAAGTTGATAGAACAACTAGACAAAATATTAAAGACAGAATATCTGAACCACACTATCTACAATCTTCAATTGATTGACATATATAAAATACTTGATAGAATATACAACAACTTCAGAATGCATACTACTTAAAAAAAAATGTATTTGGCTGTGTCAGGTCTTAGTTGTGGCTTGCAGGATCTTTTGATGTGGCACCCATCAGAGCTTACTTGCTCGGGGGCATGTGGTATATCTTAGTTCCCTGACCAGATTCCACTGATCTGCTAGAGTGGCTCACAGAACTCAGAAATAACAGTTTAGAGACTTCCCTGACGGTCCAGTGGCTAAGACCTCCAGCTCCCAGTTCAGGGGGGCCTGGGTTCAATCCCTGGTCAGGGAACTAGATCCTGCCTGCTGCAACTAAGATCCGACAGCAGCCAAATAAATAAATATTGAGAAAAACAGTTTACTTACCACTGTTTCACTGTAAAAGGATAGAACTCAGGATCAGCCAGAGGGAAGAGATGCTCAGGATGCAGGGGGCAGGGCAGTAGCGCTTCCAACCCTCTCTGGGCACGCCCCCAGCACCTCCACCAGTTCAGCAACCAGTGTCTGCATTTTTATGGGGGTTCGTTGCATAGGTGTTGTGGGCCGAGTCATTGGCCTCTGGGGACTGATTGAACCCCAGCCTGTCCCCTCCCCTCAGGTGCTAGGGGTGAAGGTTCTAACTTGCTCACAAGCCTTGGCCCCTGGCAACTAGCTGTATCCTTAGGAGTTTTCCTCATTAACATAAAACTCAGAAGTTAAGGGATTTGTTAAGATAACAAGACGCTTCTCTCACCTGTGTGGCTGTGCAGCAACTTCAGAAACGGAGGAGGACTTCCCTGATGGCTGGTGGCACAGTGGATAAGAATCCTCCTGGCAATGCACAGGACACAGATTCGATCCCTGGTCCAGGAAGATCCCACATGCTGTGAAGCAACTAATCCCGTGTACCACAACTATGGAGCCTGCACACCTAGAGCCTATGCTCCACAACTAGAGAAGCCACTGCAATGAGTAGTCTGCACACCACAACAAAGAGTAACCCGTGCCTCAGAGAAAGCCCATGTGCAGCAATGAAGAGCCAACACAGCCAAAAATAAATAAAAAACCAAAGAGAAAAGCCCAAGGATTAAAAGATGCTCCTCTGCACTCATTCCCTAAGAAATTCCAAGCACTTTAGGAATTCTGTGCCAGAAACAGGCAGGAAGACCAAATATATATATTTCTTATTTAAATCACAATATCACAGTGGGGAAAAGGAAAAAGACTCATTCGCTTAAGACCCTGGAGGAGATGAGAGAGAATGACTTCAGGGCCCAGGGGGAGAGGAGAGGAGGGGTGAGGACCACACAGGGGAGGTCTCTGGACGTTTATCCGCAGCCTCTCCTGTTGGGCTGCCTCCCCTGAGGCCCCGGCTCCAGTCTTGCTCCTCCAAAAACTTTCTGGATCCCAGTGACCCCTCCCTTCCTCCCCCTTCAGGCCTGGCAGGTAGTAGTGCCCACGACAGCCAGCCCGGCAGCTTCTGCCTGCCTGGTGAGTCCCAGTAGCCTGTCCATCCCTGTGGGAGCAGCCCGCACGCTGCCTCATTCTGTGTCCCCCTGGGAGGGCGCCGTCTCTTTCGTAGAACTGGGCAGAAGAACCGCGTGATGAGGAAGGTGGGAGCGCACACAGCAGGGTCGGCAAGCTCACCTGGACCCGGGAGCGGTTTTACGGGGTCACAGCCACACCCGTCCACTCTCCTGTTGTCTGTGCTGCCAGAGCAGAGTTGAGGGAACACAGCAGAGACCAAACGGCCAGAGAAGCCTCACACACTGACCACGTGTCCTTCCAGAGAGAACATGTGTGGCTCTAGCATGGAAGAAAGAACATGCGTGACCTGAGGGTTGAAGACGAGTTGAGCTCTGAGTCTGCGGATGAACTGGATGAGCCTCGGCCGTAGGACAGTAATAATACTGCGGCCTGCAGAGCTGTGGTAGGAGCTGCAGCTGTAATGAGTCTGTTTCCAGGGGTTGCTGTCCTTTGAGGACGTGGCTCTCTACTTCACCAGGCAAGAGTGGGACACGCTGGACTGGGCTCAGAAGGCCCTCTACAGGGACGTGATGCTGGACAACTGCAGACACGTCATCTTCTTGGGTACGGAGTCAGCTTGAAGGTGAGGGGAATGGGTTTAGGGAGGGCTCATGAGTATACCTGGTATTTATTACAAGTGTGTTACTTCCTTAAAAATGATATGAAGCAAATATGTCCTACTCAAGAGTTGATTCATCTGTGTGGTGTATTTGTGAACGTTCTTTAAAATTGTTCTATTCTACGCTTGCCTGTATGTTGGCAATATTTCACAATAAACTGGTCCATGTGTTTTAGCAGAATATCACAGTTCAAAAGTATATAAATAGGGACTTCCCTGGTGGTCCAGCAGTTATGTCTTCACCTTCCAATGCAGGGGTTGTGGGTTCGATGTCTGGTCAGGGCACTGAGATACCACATTTCTAAAGAAGTAAATAAATCCCATGGAGAACATCAGTACTAAAAAAAAAAAAGGACTCACTTTCATTTAAAAAAATATTTTGAACCTACTCATAACACAGAGACTCACAGACATGAAACGAACTTATGGTTACTGGCAGAGAGGGATAGTTAGGGAGTTTGGAAGGTCATGTACACACTGCTATATTTAAAATGAATAACCAACAAGGACCTATTGTATAGCACATGGAACTCTCTCTGTTCAATGGTGTGGCAGCCTGGATGGGAGGGGAGTTTGGGGGAGAATGGGTACATGTATACGCATGGCTGAGTTCCTTCACTATTCATCCGAAACTATCACATCGTTAATCAGCTATACCCCAATACAAAATAAAAAATTCAAAAGAAAAAAAAAGGTTTGGTCCAAAAGTGGAGGCCCCCGAAGAGTGACAAGGGCAGAACTCTGACGGGTCACCTTTGCTCTTGCTGAAAGCATGTTCTGACTCACACCCTCTTCCTTCAGGGCAACAGGCTCTCAAAGGGCATCCTGAGACTAGTTGAACTCAGTCTGTCTTGGGGGTGATGCCAAAAGGCAATACAATCCATAATTACTGAAATACTCCAAAGAACATAGTTTCTGAAAGAGAGAGAAAGAGAAGGAGGGAAAGAGAGAAGGGAATAAAACGACTCGTGAAGAAGCAGGTCAAAATGATGGGACTTTATTTCTGTGGATTCTTTGGTGTCGGACGAGGTGTGAGCTCTGTCTGAAGCTGTCCCCACAGTCGAGACATCTGTAAGGTTTCTCTCCGGTGTGAGTCCTCTGGTGTTTAACGAGGGTCGCGCTCTGACTGAAGCGCCTCCCGCACACGGAACACCCGTAGGGCCTCTCCCCGGTGTGGATCTTCTGGTGTTTGGAGAGGTCGGAGCAGCGTTTGAAGCTCTTGTTGCACTCCTCACACGTGTAGGGTCGCTCCCCCTCGTGTCCCCTCTGGTGTCTGAAACGCCCGGCGGTGCGGCAGGTCTCCCCGCACTCCTTACACGTGCAGCGCCTCTCCCTCAGGTGGGTTCTCTGATGCCGGCTGAGGTGTGAGCTCTGTCGGAAGCTGTCCCCACACTTGGGACAGGTGTAGGGCTTCTCTCCAGTGTGTGTCCGCTGGTGTTTAACAAGGGTCGCGCTCTGACTGAAGCGCCTCCCACACACAGGACACCCGTAGGGCCTCTCCCCGGTGTGGATGCGATGGTGTTTAAGGAGGTCGGAACGCTGTTTGAAGCTCTTTTCACAGGTGTCACATGTGTAAGGCCTTTCTTCATGGAACCACCCCTGAGTCTCAAATAGGCCCGAATGATGGCGATTTTCCTCACTGTCGAGAGATTCGTGAGGTTTCACCATATCTAACCTGTGCTGGCAGTTCCCATATTCATCTACAGTGACGGGTCTCCCTGCTGTTGGGATGTACTGACCAGGAACAAAGTCTGAACTCTCGGCACTGGTCCTGAATTCATTGTTTTTGACATCTTCTTCGCTGGGACCGTTCCTGAGATCTGAGGTGTGGGTGACTCCCTGATCTGCAGGAGAATCTTCACGTTTCGGCGATGAGGGGTCTCCCAAGGGCTTCTCTCTCCTGTCCTGCTGGGTGTCACCACACTCAGAAGATAGGGGAGCCCTCTCCTGAAATCCTTGTAGCTGCCCTGGAGGCTCCACTTCTAGAATTTCTTGCTTTGGAATCAACTCTTTGTTCTCAATTCTGGTTTCCGAACCTGAAATATTAAAATACGAGTTGCTGACATTTCATCCCCTGGCAGGAGTGATTAAGAAAGTACTAGCAGAGAAACACCGCCCCCCCACAAAGCCCTTTTCATGTTCTCTATGAAACCACTCCTGAAGTTAAATTATTTTAATTAACCTGTCAAATGTGCTTACTTATACAAGTCCTGTTTCTTTCCTTTTATAATTGTGCCTGCACCCACCAACCCATCTCTCTTCCCCTAACCCCACTTCATAAGAACACAGGGAGAGACAGACAAGAATGATTGGCATAATGCTCTGTGTTATGGTAAAAAACTAGAAGCCTTAACATCTGTTGACAGAATGGATAAGTGAATATTAGGATGAAATATATAGAGATGTTAAAAGGAATAAACTAGAGCTACACGTATCAACATGGGTAAAAATCCCAAAAATGTGATGTGGAGAAAAAAGGCAAGGTGCAAAAGGACCATACAGTAATACAACGTATATATACTGTAAAAACATGTCAAAATACTGTATATGTTTACATGTTTATATATATTTATATATAATACATACAGAAAGTGTATATGTGGCTACATGTATATGTAGAAAGAATATAAAACAAGCATAGAAATGGTAAATCAGGATATTGGTCACTTCTGGAGAAAGACTGAGGGGATAGCTTTCGAGGGGGGTACACTGAGCTTCACCTGGTGCTATGACTGTAATATATGCACCATATAAAAAACTGACTCTATCACCTGACAATATAGAACAGAAAGGTCTTGCCTCAGTCACAAAAGGGGCTTGAAGGCTCTCAATCTCTGTGAATGGCAGCCTGGCTCAGGGATTTTCTGAAGCAAGCCCTCCACCAGTCACACCCAGCTGGAGACGGGCAGAGCCCAGCACTCACTTGGTGACACTGCGTTCTCATGACCCTCCGGTGCACTCTCCCTGAAGAAGGGCTTCTGTGCTGGCCCCAGACGCTCCCACTCCTCCCAGGTTAGAGGCACGGCCACATCCTGGGCTGGCACCAAGCCCTGTAACAACAGGAGACCTCCCCTCAGCACCTGCCATCCCAGGCCGGTGTCACCAGCAGTGCCGGCCTGAGGCTGGATTCAGAGAAGAGTCCACAGGCCCTGAGAAATCAAGTAATGACTGAGGGAGTCTTTATCAGTGAGCCTTGTACTGAGGTGGGAGTTGCAAAGTGACCAAAGACAGAAGCGGACATTCTCCTGCAACCCTGAAAAGCCTTTCTGTGGACTGTCTACACTCATTTGAGGGAAGAGCAAAATACTCCTTTGAGTTATATTGCTGTGATTTATGGGGCTTCCCAGGTGACGCTAGTGGTAAAGAATCTGCCTGCCAATGAAGGAGATGCAATAGACGTGGGTTTGATTCCTGGATTGGGAAGATCCTGTGGAGAAGGAAGTGGTAATCCACAAGTATCCTTGCCTGGGAAATCCCATGGCCAAGAGGAGCCTGGCGGGCTACAGTCCATGGGGTCACAAAGAGTCAGACACAACTGAGTACACATACACACACTCTGATTTATCAAAACAGAAACCTGACATGGATTCAAAATACACAGGTTAACCGAAGTCCCCAGTTCCAATGCTGGCTCTCAGACACTACTTCCTCTTGTGTGACATGGATACAAAGATCTATCTTCAGAGGAAGGTACCTCACCAACAGGACTAATTATTTGTTTTCCCTGAGCCTCTCTCTCCTCTCCTTGTAAAGGAAAACCACCTTCCTGTGTGTCTCCTCTGCTCTCAGTACTCTGAATATTCACTACAACAATATCGCGTCTGACACCAGATGTGTGCATTTCCACAGGTCAAGCAGTTATGCGGCACCAGCTGGTGGGCTTCCTACAGTTTAACAACTCTGACCCCACTGACCTGGCGGTGGTGTGAGATCCCACAGGTTAAGAGCTGTCTTACAAGACTGCTCCCCTCCTCCATACATCAATTCCAAGTCCACGCCATCACCTATGTACCTGCTTTTGACCAACCAGCTATAGATTGGAGGTTTCCAAGACTCTTCTTTGAGTTCGATTAATTTGCTAGTGGCTCCAGAATGCAGGACAATAGTTTACATACTAGATTACCAGTTTATTATAAAAGAATATATATCAGCAACAGTCAGATGGAAGAGATGCATTGGGCAAGGTCTGGAGGGGGTGGTCCTAAGCTCAGGAGCTTCTCTCCCCTTGAAGGTGGGATGGGGGCAGGGCTGTGTTGCCCTCCCACTTAAGTAGATGAGCTTACCAACGGGGGAGCTCTCTGAACCCCATACTCTTGTGATTTTATGAAGGCTTCATCATGTAGGCAGGATCAATTATTAACTCCATTTCCAGCCTCTCTTCCTGTTCTGCAGTATCATTATCAATTGAGGGAGGAGGGAGAAAGTCATTCAAAACGTTAAAAAGTAAAAGGATGCTCACATTCAAAGTAGTGGGGAGCTCTGTTCTTATACATCGTTTAAGGACACTTTCCACCTTGACATCTTTCTTTCCCAATCTAGTTAGACACGAGGGTGTTTTACACTGAGGAAACAATACTTCTGTGCCGGTTTTGTGCGGAAAGGTCTACAACTCAAGGACCTCTTCCTGGACGGGTTTATATGTCACCGCTTCCTACAAAGGAAAGACTGTTTCTTTCATGCACATCCTAAGGTTCACGCAAAATGTAATAAGGAAGTAAAGAACTTCTGAAACCCATAGCATCCCTCACACCTCCACCCCCACTCCCAGAACACTTTTACCTCTCACCTGGCGTGAGGTCCCAGCAGGCTCTCTCTGAAGAGACCGCACCAAGGCGGCCGCCTCGTCCCCGCTCTGCGGGCAGTGCTTCCGCACCCAGGCCTGGAGCTTCTGGGGCAGGATAGTCAGGAACTGCTCCAGCACCAGCAGCTCCAGGATCTGCTCTTTTGAGTGCACCTCGGGCCTCAGCCATCGACAACAAAGTTCCCTGAGCCGGCTCAGCGCCTCTTCCGGTCCGGCCACCTCCCGATAACGGAACTGCCTAAAATGACATCGAGAAGTTTCGGGATCCGGACAGTGCCCGGGCCGGTCGGAATCCCCACTTCCGGGGGAGTCTTCCTCCACTTTCACTGTCCGAAGCCCCTCATCTAGGGCCAGAGGGGCGACCCTGCTTTGACCTGCGGTCCAGCTCCAACTCATCCTTCTCCCGCTCGTGCGCCCTTTCCCGGAGTTCCACCTTCAGCTGAGGCGACAGCAAACCCAGCAAAAAGCCGCAGAACACATCCGATCTCCCCAAAGAAGCGGCTGCCGAATGTCGGGTCCTAAAAGGATCCCATCTCCCCAGGCCCCGTCCCAGACTCCTCCTACCTAGAAGCTGTCAAATCCCGCGACAAAAAACTACTAACTGCCCGAGTCGGAAGTGCGTCACCGGCTCCCTGCGGTGCCCTCCCCTCGGGGCATTTCTGGGCCTCTCTAGGCTCCTCGGAGGAATGACTTGCGTCTCTGTGGTTTGTTATCATTACCTTTTCCAGAGGTACTCTTGGTGGCTCACACGGTAAAGAATCCGCCTGCAATGCGGGAGACCTGGGTTCAGTCCCTGAGTTGGGAAGATCTCCTGGAGAAGGGAGCGGCTACCCAGCCCAGTATTCTGGCCTGGAGAATTCCATGGACAGAGGAGCCTGGCCGACTACCGTGCATGGGGTCGCAAAGAGTAGGACACTAAGAGTCGTACACGACTGAGCGACTTTCGCTTTCACCTTGTAGTGTGGAGCTTACAGTCCTCAAGGTTGCAGAACTAAAGGATATTCTTCCTTTAAAATAAATGTCATTCCTTCTGAATTCTTGAAAATCTTTCATCTTTAGATTAAGTATGAGAAGGAATCTTATCATTGTTTCAAAGAGAAAAAAAGAAACAAAAGAAAAATATCAAACCTGTGTTTCACTTGCATTCCTTTGTATGCAATAATAATCAAAATTTTGCAAAAAATCATTCAAAAGCAATCACATGCCTTAGCTTTGTAGCAACTTTCTTCTCAAAGTTGGCTCATTACCATGTTAAACATTTATAGTAAGTTTGAGAATATATTTGTCAAATTATATGTCTTATGTTTAAAAAGTATGTTTCATATGATCATAAAATAAATTTAAAATATAATTGTATATGAAAAATTGTATAGGTGATAAAAATATGTACCATTCAATTGTTTCTACGTTTAACAAACATCACTTTTATTTGAGAATAACCAAAAGAAAGAATGTCATTCTTAACAAATTATCTGTGAAGAAAATTGTATAAATTTGGTTTTAGGGAAAGTTAAAAGTTCCAGTTGTACAATAAAGTGGTCACTGATCCATCGGTTACACTTAGGCAAGAAAGGTTTGTAGAGTGTCTTCCACATGTGCAGGCATCATAGGTGACACTACAGATGCAAAACTGGGAAGATATGTTCCCTGTCCTCAAGTTGCTCACCGTCTCCTCATGGAGACAGACACTTAAATTACAGGACAGTGTGGTAAATGCAATACTTTGAGGTGTATGTAGCATCTGTTTGGATAAGCAGAGATGTAAATGATCAACCATGCCTGATGGGGAGTGTACGGTAAAAGGCTTCACAGAAGAGATTAAGTTTAAAAAGTCCGTGTGAAAAAAAAAAAGTCCATGTGGACTGAAGACATATTTTAATTAAAAAGTGGGTTAAATATATAGGCAATAGACACAACTAAAGCAACTTAGCACACGCATACTTTAGTTTAAAATTTACATGAAATCATCTGCATTATTTAAGAAATGAAGAATTATCTGAGCTACAAATGTGTGTGTTCGTGCTCAGCTGTGTCTGACTCTTTGTGATCCCAAGGACTGTAGTCTGTCAGACTCCTCTGTCCGTGGGATTTTCAGGCAAGAATACTGGAGTGGGTTGCCATTTCCTTCTCGAGGGGATCTTCCCAACCCAGGGATCGAACCAGCGTCTGCTGCTTGGCAGACAAGTTCTTTACCACTGAGCCACCAGGGAAGCTCTATATAAGTTACACTAAGGGAAATTCATTTAAAAACCATTTGTTTAAGTACAATTAATGTCCTGATTTATGAATGCAAATTCCCAAGCAGGGTCAAGATTTCATACAACATATTAATGGACTAAAGTTTAAATTATAAACTTTAAAAATTATTTCCAAAGTTTGTGCAAAAGCACAGGTGGTCAATTCCTACTTTGGGTTCTAGCAGTTGAAGTGACTGTACTAGTCTGTTGTGATCTGTTTTGACTGGACATTAATAGGACATGAAACAGGCAAGGGCAGATTTTTCAGGATTATTTTTTATGTTGAACATGAAAGTGTTAGTCGCTCAGTCCATGTAAATATAATCAAGTATCTTATATAATGCACATACACGCATATATACTACACTAGTGTGCGTGCTAAGTCACTTCAGTCCTGTCCGACTCTGTGACCCCATGGACTGTAGCCTGACAGGCTCCTCCATCCATAGAATTCTCCAGGCAAGAATACTGGAATGGGTTGCCAGTTTCTTCTCCAGGGGATCTTCCCCACCTAGGGATTGAACTCGGGTCACCTGCATAGCAGGAAGATTCCTTACCGTCTGAACCACCAAGGAAGCCCAATTTTTATGTTAAAAATCACAAATTCACTACTCTCAAGGCTCATCTTTGTCATTTTACAAATCTGGAGCAACATGTGATAATTTAATGAGATAACTTGTCGAATGTTTACATCTCATCTCCCTAGTTGGTTTGAAAGTCTCTGGAGGGCAGAAACTTTGCACAAGTCTACCTCTTCATCTGTGTAGGAACGCTATCATGATCTGGCAGAAAGTCACAAGTTCTTTTCCCAGTATTGCAGGACAAGGCTTTGACTAGGATTAGGTTATCAAGGATGGCAAGGGAATTGGGACAGAATGCAAATTCACAAATAAAACTCTATGGTTAAAAAAAAAAAAAACAACTCTATGGTACAGGCAAATCTAGCTCCAGAAAATATCCATCTATGTAACTAGTAATGGAATCCAGAAGAGAATATTACATACTATGAAGACAGTACAAGCATTTTTCATCTTCTCCCAGGGAGAGGAGATGTATTAATAGGTCTTCTTTCCTGCTGATTACCAGTTTGGCCCCACTAGTTCCAGTGTCTGGGCTGTATGACTGGATTCTGATCATGATTAAGTGATTTGCTTAGCTCTTTTCTCCCTTTCTCCTGTAATGTAACTTTTGTCTTCACTTGCAGAACATCAAGTGCTTTCATCTGTTCCCACTGATATCACTGAATGATATATTTTTGTGTTCCCAATGCCTTTTCTGGTGTTTTTTCATAGAAGTTAACTGAAGAAATGTCTCATCTTTAAAAAAAAAATTAAGTGCAAGTAAATAAAGTGAGAAAAGGAAAACAAAGTAGGGATAAATAAGATAGAGCCAGGGATAGGCCGGGATTAGAACTTCCCCACTGTACACTCCTGAGTACTGACAAAAGATAGCCCATAGTTCTGCTCTGAGAAACCTCAGCAGCCAATTCAAGAAGAAAACAAGATCAGTTACATGAGCAAACTATTATAATGGCTTAGGAGAAATCGAGCTACTCTTAGTATCAAGAAGGAAGAGAAATTTATAGTCATAAGGGTCGCAAAGAGTCGGACAGGACCGAAGCAACTTAGTACTCAAGTACGCCTCCACTCTATATAAGATGCTTTAAAACAATACACCTCTGACCCTCATTCCACGTTTTGGTTTGAGTGCTCCCGGTTTGCTAACTTTTTAGTATGTGCACAGTAAGCTTTCACTAATTACTACTTCAGCGATTCAGTGCTTTCATGTCTTTTTTTTTTTTTTTTTGGCCTGAACTTTTGACGATTCTAAATATAAAAAGTAAAACCATAAAAATACTACATTGCACAAACCGCAGTGTCAATTTAAGCTTCTCCAGCTATTAGTCTCTTTGGCGATAGCAGGAATTTTTTGCATTTTTTCATTCATAAGGTAGACCACGGCGCGAGCAAGGCATTCTCAAAATCCCTGATTTGAGTGAAAATTCACAACGTACTATAAAAATATAACTCCTGGGAGTATCGAAGGATTTGCTGTTGTTCAGTCGCTGAAGTCGTATCCGGTTCTTTGCGACCCCAGGGACTGCAGCAAGTCAGGTTTCCTTGTCCTTCACGTCTCCCGGAGTTCGCTCAAACTCACGTCCGTTGAGTCGGTGATGCCATCCAACCATCTCCTCCTCTGTCGTCCCCTTCTCCTCCTGCCTTCAGGAGGATATATTAACTCAGAGTGGAGTCGGTGAGCATCATTCACTTCGTGACTTTTAAGACAGAGACTCCTGTCCTGTCTGTCGAGTAGCTTCGCAAATGGATACAAAATGAGACTACTAAAGATGGGATCCCCTCGGCTAGAGAAGCCCTGAAAATACCACTTCGTCCACTTCTCAAGAACGCGGACCTTCTGCCTTCTCTCTCCGCAGCCAGGAGGCGAGTCTCTCCCTACACACTCAGGCCTCCACTGGAGCTTCTGAGGAACGCCTCTTTGCTTTCCCGCACCGTGAGACTAAGGCTGCGAAGAGAGCCGCTGCCCTAATTGGCTAGAGGGCGTGGCCCGCGCGGTGCTCCTTGGGAGTTGTAGTCTCCCGAGCAGCTGTGGGCTCCGGTCTGAGGTTGGTTGTTTCCGCCGGGTGAGCAGACTGCTGCGGTGAGGAGGTGGGTGTGTCTGGAGACGGGGTGAGGGGAGTGGCGAGTGGCTTCGGGCGTAGAAACCGAAGGGTCCATTAAAGAGGAGTGAAGGTTGCCGGCTCGCACAAAGGTACAGACCTATTTCAAACTGCGGCGAAGAGCGCCGGGGGTGAGGGAGCGCAAGTTCCACGGCCATCCAGACACTAGCAGCTGTGGCCAAGCAAGCGCTCTGGATTCCTAAGTTCCCGCCTCTGCCCCCACCCCAAGGAAAGGGGCGGGCTCGGACGGTTTAAACGGCTCTGGCATTGAGTGGGGCAGAGAGTGGCGGTGTTTTCCACCCGGCTCTAGCGTTGAAGTATCTGCCTGTGGGTGGGCGGGGAACGGCCGTGTTGCTGGAGGTTGGACTGGGACCCATCTCCCAGCCGATTGGCCCACAGCCCTTCCGGGGGCGGGTCTTAGGGCGGAGCCTGGGGCGGGCACTTTCCTCCTGTGGCGAGGCAAGGACCTCCGGGATTCCTAGAGAGGACTCGGAAGTGCTCTCGTGGGGGGCGGGGGTGGGATTTCTGGCTCTACCCCGCTGGTCAGGAGCGCTTGGACGCGCTTACTTCCGGTGAGGAAGTGCTGCGAAGTGTCGGCTTCGGCTTTTATCTCCGTTTGTAAGAAGAAACCCGTCTTTCCTCACCCTTGGCTGCGGGAGCTTGGTCTTCCAGGAGAGCTCCCAGGGACAGGGGCCTTGAGCAAAAGGAATGGCCTTTGTGTCCAGACGAGGGTCCTGTCCCTAACCTTGACCGGGCTGGTTTCCGTGGCTCGGGGTCAGGGGCGATGGTGCGCAATCCAGGTGCAAAATCTGTATCTAAAACCCTGGTTCTCTTCGGGACCCATGAAGTCTCCCGTTGGTCAGTCAAGCTCTTATGGCTTGAGCGACAAGACCAACTTTGACCACTGTAACGTTTTTGACCTCTGTTCCGACTTAAGTTTGGCTTGTGGCAGACAGAAGGAGCGGCTGCGTCTGGACTAGTTAGTAAGTCGTCCTACTATTTATATGAAATTCAACATTCTTCACCACTAAAATTGTATTTGATGAGGCCATAGGTCAGATTTTTATTGCTCTCTCCCCTTTACACTTTTTAAATGTTAGAACTATTCTGTTGATCATTTTGTGGGTGGAGTGATGGCTGGTTTGTAGTGCACCTTGTAAAGTCAGTTACTCTGCTGCATGGTCATCTTTAGGATAGATGACCTCTTTGTCATCTCTTTGATAATAACGATTTCCAATATATCAGTAGGTTGCACAGTAATGAAAGTGTCCTTCAGAAGATCTCAGAGAGCAGAGAAACGGATTCGATCAGTGTAACCCAGCTTACCTGGAGCGAGATCCCGCTGAGTTGGAATGATAATGACAGGATCTGGGGAAGTTATAGACTTAGACCCTCCCTCGGAGTCTTCACCAGAACAAGAAGACCTTCTGATAGTGAAGGTGGAAGAAGAAGATTGTACCTGGATGCAGGAGTACAGTCCGCCGGTGTTCGAGACTTTTTACCAGCGCTTCAAGCACTTCCAGTACCACGAGGCGTCAGGCCCCCGGGAGGCTCTCAGCCAACTCCGAGTGCTCTGCTGCGAGTGGCTGCGGCCGGAGCTACACACCAAGGAGCAGATCCTGGAGCTGCTGGTGCTCGAGCAGTTCCTGACCATCCTGCCTGAAGAGTTCCAGACCTGGGTGAGAGAGCATCACCCTGAAAGCGGAGAGGAGGCTGTGGCCGTGGTAGAAAATATACAAAGAGAACTAGAGGAACGTCAGCAACAGGTGAGTGGAAGAGGAGGCCTTAGAACAATGAGGAAGAAGAGGAAGAGAGTTAAGGAGCAGCTGAACAGGGGTGAGGTCTTGAGCGCCCTGGTGCTTCATTCATATTCTTTTGTTCTCCTGGGATTAGGTCCACTGTGGAGATTTCCTGCCACTCCAGCAAAGAGAAGCAGTGTCCATGTGTTAATCTGGAGAAGAGAGTCTGCGATTTTGTTTGTTTTAAATTACCCTGTTTGTTTTTTGAGTGACATGATACAAAATTCAAAAAGTGCATAAGGTTGTAATGAAAAGTAAGTGCCCCTCCCACCCCTAATTCCCCAGCTGCCTGAGTTCTCACCAGAGGCAACCATTGTCCCATGATACTTGTCTGTCCTTACGGAGGTACACTCTATTCTGTATATTATTAGTGTCTACAAGTATGATGTTTTAAAAAAAAACACAAATGTTTTTTGTATCACCTTGCACTTCTGCCTCTTGCTTTTTTTTCTTTTTTAAATGTATTTCCTGCTCTTTAGAAATTTTTTATTTGGCTGTGTTGGGTCTTAAGCCTGTGTTGAGCACACAGGATCTTTTAGTTGTGGTGCGTGGACTCTCTAGTTGTATGATGTGGGCTCCAGATAGTGTGGGTTTAAGTAGTTGTGCCCCGTCTTAGTTGCTCCTTGGTGTGTGGGATCTTAGTTCCCGGACCAGGGATCGAACCCATGTCCCTTGCATTGCACGACATTCTTTAACCACTGGACCACAGGAAAGTCCCAGCTTTTTTTCTTATAGTGTATCCTGGCTTGTTCTATGTCAGTGCATAGAGTGCTGCCTCAGTCTTTGAAACTGCATTGTGTTCCACTGTATGGATGTACAATAATTTAAGGCTATTTAAGTTGTTCCTTTAGACTGTCTCTGAATCTTTAACAAACTTTGCTGCCACGAATATCCTTTCCATTCATCATTAGTTGTAGAATCA